CATTAAAACTATGTGAAAGGGACGCAGTATTCTAACGCACAGGTAACAAGTAAATAGCCTGATGTGGACACCAATTCAGAGGCAAACTATGTGAAAGTGTCATCTATAGGTAATACCACACAACATGAGAAAGAGACACCTTGAGAGCATCATGCCAAACATCATGTTAACTAGCTAGCTAAATATCGCCAGGTGGGCTAGGGTACTTGGTTAGCTAGCATTTCACCACTTAGAAAAGTCTGACTACACGAACGGCGGTGAGCTAATGTTAACTGGCTAGCTAGCTAAATATCTCCAGGTGGGCTAGCTAGTTAGGCACCTTGGTTGGCTAGTTAGCTACATTAGCTAAAGTTGGCTAGCTAGCTCACAAAGGACTTGTGGGCAGAATGTTTTCCCATACAAAACACAAACGTTTTTGTTCGATTAATCAAATGACCTGTGAAGTCAGTTATACATGTCAGCAGGCATGGAAATTAAGCTAGCCCGAGTCTAGTGTTGGGTTCTATTTTTCTCATAATTGGATCTGTATGTGATGAATAGCTTGGAAGGAATGCATTAATGAGGAGCATAGGTTTGAACTGTACTGATATGGATTGTTTCACATAGCAGGCTGTGATTCATGTGGGGAACGTTAGGGGCTAGGATGAGATAAGACTTGTATTTCTCACAGATACGAACACTCTCTCTTTGTTGTCTGTGAAACCGTCCTTGAACGTGGGTACATGGAGTACAGTGGAATGGTGTCTTTTGGGTGCTGACTCCACAGGTTGTTATGATAAACTTGTGCCTGGCAACAGTGTGCAACAAATGAAGCGCCGAGGAGTTGGGACCAACCCCTGCGCCAACGGATTGGCTGAGTAAAGTCTAAACCACACTCAGTCCTTTACTCTGATTGGCCAACAGAAGAGGTGGGAACTATCTGTCAGAGTATTTGAGAAATAACCTGTAAACAATGTTTTAGTTCTCTGAGTGCCCTGCGAGGTATTTCAGTGGACCCGTATATACGAACCTTCATACTTATCATACATACATTTTGCATATAATAAATTAAGCTTGGATTGAAGATCTCTTGATTCTTATTCCAATACCATATTTGAATTACGCAATTTCTAACACTAGTACTTTTCAGACTGGGCTAGTAGACAATGTGCCAAACTAGCCTGAGACAGCAGTGAAATGGCTAGTAGAAAACGTGCCAAACTAGCCTTACACAGCAGTGAAATTTTGCCTTTATAAACATCACTTGCCACAGATTTAGGACCTGAATGTAGAAACCGTGGTCTGCTGGCCAGTGCCCAAAATCTTTATGTTACATCCATGCATGTCAGTCCCTTTCAGATGATCCCCCTATCACTGTTGGTCCTCATCAGTGACCTAACGGCTGAGGGTTTTAACTTTCCTCATGAGAATTAGAATCAGAAGTACAGTCATATAGCTCATCGCATTACTTACAAATAGTACCCTAGTCTGTCCTGATCATCTAGTTGAGTATTCCAGATAATTCCTCCATCCCAGCAGAAATGTCCCATCCACATAGTAGGATTTTAGATGTGCAGATAGACCAAAGCCCAGTCTATTTTACCGTTACTATAGTCAAGTCTGTGGGTTATGGTATTTAATTATAGATGTTACCATTTTAGTAATCAACCTAGATAGCTAGTAAAAGTAACATTGTTTTTGTCTTTCAGACGGACGGACTGGAAACCCAGTGACAACACTCAGGTCTGCAGCCCTATATTTACCAGAAAAGGTAGCTCCTCCACCATGACAGAAGAGGAGGATCCAGACTTATCCACCATGGCAGAAGAGGAAGATCCAGACACATCCAGAAACAGGATCCATGTTGTGAGGGAAAATGCTCAATTAAAAGATTTAAAAATCCTGAGATTCATCCCACCTTATCTGCGTTGTTATAATTATGTGCTGGTATAGACTTGCTGTGCACTTGTAAACCTCCAAGACCCACTCATCAGAGAAGTAGCTGTTGATTGGGAAACAAGAACAAACAATGAGGCATGATGATTGGGTGTTGAGGGACCACTTGTCACATGGTCCAAGGTGGGTTTGTGTTATCATAAACAATGCATTTTCTGTCCAGATTTTCGCATTGTTTGTAACTGCTTCTGTACATAATGTTTCTGCCACCATCTCTTATGACCGAAAAGAGCTTCTGGATATCAGAACAGCGATTACTCACCTTGTACTGGACAAAGATTTTTTTATTTAATGAGTCAGACGCAAAGGATTTACGCTGCTCCTGGACCAGGCTCAAATCCCCGTCATTTGCATGAAGAGGAGACACCAATACAGGGGCCGCAGATTTGGGTGCCTTGTGAGAATTGGTTGGCAAGTGGGTAACCCGCCTCTACCATCCATCCTACTGGCCAATGTGCAATAATTGGAGAATAAACTGGATGAGCTCTGTTCGAGACTATTCTACCAACGGGACGTTAAAAACTGTAATATCTTATGTTTCACCGAGTCGTGGCTTAACGACGACATGGATAATATACAGTTGGCTGGGTTTTCCGTGCATCGGCAAGACAGAGCAGCTACCTCCGTTAAGACGAGGGGTGGTGGTCTGTGTCTATTTGTCAATAACAGCTACAGTGGGGAGAACAAGTATTTTATACACTGCCGATTTTGCAGGTTTTCCTACTTACAAAGCATGTAGAGGTCTGTAATTTCTATCATAGGTACACTTCAACTGTGAGAGACAGAATCTAAAACAAAAATCCAGAAAATCATATTGTATGATTTTTAAGTAATTCATTTGCATTTTATTGCATGAGATAAGTATTTGATACATCAGAAAAGCAGAACTTAATATTTGGTACAGAAACCTTTGTTTGTAATTACAGAGATCATACGTTTCCTGTAGGTCTTGACCAGGTTTGCACACACTGCAGCAGGGATTTTGGCCCACTCCTCCATACAGACCTTCTCCAGATCCTTCAGGTTTCGGGGCTGTCGCTGGGCAATACGGACTTTCAGCTACCTCCAAAGATTTTCTATTGGGATCAGGTCTGGAGACTGGCTAGGCCACTCCAGGACCTTGAGATGCTTCTTACGGAGCCACTCCTTAGTTGCCCTGGCTGTGTGTTTCGGGTCGTTGTCAGCCACGACCCATCTTCAATGCTCTTACTGAGGGAAGGAGGTTGTGGCCAAGATCTCGCGATACATGGCCCCATCCATCCTCCCCTCAATACGGTGCAGTCGTCCTGTCCCCTTTGCAGAAAAGCATCCCCAAAGAATGATGTTTCCACCTCCATGCTTCACGGTTGGGATGGTGTTCTTGGGGTTGTACTCATCCTTCTTCTTCCTCCAAACATGGCGAGTGGAGTTTAGACCAAAAAGCTCAATTTCTGTCTCATCAGACCACATGACCTTCTCCCATTCCTCCTCTGGATCATCCAGATGGTCATTGGCAAACTTCAGACGGGCCTGGACATGCGCTGGCTTGAGCAGGGGGACCTTGCGTGTGCTGCATGATTTTAATCCATGACGGCGTAGTGTGTTACTAATGGTTTCTTTGAGACTGTGGTCCCAGCTCTCTTCAGGTCATTGACCAGGTCCTGCCGTGTAGTTCTGGGCTGATCCCTCACCTTCCTCATGATCATTGATGCTCCACGAGGTGAGATCTTGCATGGAGCCCCAGACCGAGGATGATTGACCGTCATCTTGAACTTCTTCCATTTTCTAATAATTGCGCCAACAGTTGTTGCCTTCTCACCAAGCTGCTTGCCTATTGTCCTGTAGCCCATCCCAGCCTTGTGCAGGTCTACAATTTTATCCCTGATGTCCTTACACAGCTCTCTGGTCTTGGCCATTGTGGAGAGGTTGGAGTCTGTTTGATTGAGTGTGTGGACAGGTGTCTTTTATACAGGTAACGAGTTCAAACAGGTGCAGTTAATACAGGTAATGAGTGGAGAACAGGAGGGCTTCTTAAAGAAAAACTAACAGGTCTGTGAGAGCCGGAATTCTTACTGGTTGGTAGGTGATCAAATACTTATGTCATGCAATAAAATGCTAATTAATTACTTAAAAAACATACAATTTGATTTTCTGGATTTTTGTTTTAGATTCCGTCTCTCACAGTTGAAGTATACCTATGATAACAATTACAGACCTCTACATGCTTTGTAAGTAGGAAAACCTGCAAAATCGGCAGTGTATCAAATACTTGTTCTCCCCACTGTATATTAACGAAGTCTCAAGGTTTTGCTCGTCTGAGGTTGAGTACCCCATGATAAGCTATAGACCACACTATTTACCAGGAGAGTTTTCATCTTGTCATCTCCTGTCTGGATTACTGCAACTCGCTGTTGGCTGGGCTCCCTGCCTGTGCCATTAAACCCCTACAACTCATCCAGAACGCTGCAGCCTGTCAACCTTCCCAAGTTCTCTCACGTCACCCCGCTCCTCCGCACACTCCACTGGCTTCCAGTTGAAGCTCGCATCTGCTACAAGACCATGGTGCTTGCCTACGGAGCTGTGAGGGGAGCGGCACCTCCGTACCTTCAGGCGCTGATCAGTCCCTACACCCAAACGAGGGCATTGCGTACATCCACCTCTGGCCTGCTGGCCCCCCTACCTCTGTGGAAGCACAGTTCCCGCTCAGCCCAGTCAAAACTGTTCGCTGCTCTGGCACCCCAATGGTGGAACAAGCTCCCTCACGACGTCAGGACAGCGGAGTCACTCACCACCTTCCAGAGACACTTGAAACCCCACCTCTTTAAGGAATACCTGGGATAGGATAAAGTAATCCCCCCCCCCCCCCCCCCCCCCCCCCCAAAAAAGAAAGTGGTTGTCCCACTGGTGTCCCATAAGGTGAATGCACCAATTTGTAAGTCGCTCTGGAGAAGAGCGTCTGCTAAATGACGAAAATGTAAATGTAAATGTATTTCTTTATTTTATTTTTCATGCAAATATAAGGGAGTTGTACTCCAGTCTAATAGGTGGCGGTAATACAACATATTGGATGCCAACCGCCGTTAATCTAATCGAAGTAGAAGATGTTGAAGCTCATCTACATTTTCAAAACGTGACGCATTTTGGCCTCATTACAGCAGTTTCTCTCGTTGTGCGACGAGATTAGTTACGGAAACTAACATACCTTGTTAGCTATCTAGCTATTCCAGTTTAGAGACTTCGACCTTATTTTCACCCATACTGTGACTGGATCACAAGACACGTAGCTATTGCATCGACCATAATCTTATTTACGGTGAGTTATAACGTTGTCCTTACATCCCTTTTTCAACCAAGTTAGCTAAAGCGTTAGCACAACATCACAATTAGCTAACGTTAGCTAGCTATCTTAGATAGCATTATGCGTTAGCTAGCTTGTAACTCTGGCCGGTTTAACGTTAAATGTCTATCTATTTATAATCACCGTTTCAACACAATCACATGAACGTCTTCATATTGAATTTGGTTGGATATCATTCATGGCAGAGTTGGTTAAGTTAACTAGCCAACGTTACGCGTTAGCAGTGTTGTGGTTCTGACTCACCAGCGACATTTCGGATTTGTACAACTAATGTTATCAGGCTAAACTGGTCATATCTGGTTTGGTCTTGTGCGACGGTGTGTTACTGTGACTAATAATTTCCTTTCATGCAATTTTTTGACAATTGGAGTTGGGTTATTTAGCTAACTGGCTAACGTCGATTGTTACTAATAATATCAGTCTGTTGCTAGTGCGCCAGCTAGGTAGTTTATCTAGCTAACGTTGCCTAACGACGAATGCCAGGAAGGCCACAGCGTAATAACATTCTAATGGCGCCTAACTGGCTTGAAATCTAATCGTTAGCTAGCAAACCGACTGATAGACGCTATGTTACAGATATCTAATGTTAGTTACCTAAATTGTTATAAAGCTTTCTAAATGGACTCTTGATCTTGCCTCTGAAAAATATACAAGGGAGACTGACAGATGGTATGCATTTAACATGTGCGGACGGTGGTTAGTTAACTAGCTAGCTACTAGTAGCTGACGAACGTTAGTTAGTTACGTTTTCATGACAGGAATTATTATGTAAATCTCACACCAGAACGAATTAACAACACCGCTTCTCTCAGTTCAAAATAGCAACTAGCTAAAGTGAATCAGTTGTTTTTGTTGTTGTTGGCGAACGTGTCGTAACTGCCATAGAAGACAGGTTAAACACCTGTTGCTGAGCCCGATCAGCTGTCTCGTAACCTGAAGTCCTTAACTAGCCTCTTTTGGAAGCTAAACGTCATTTACACCCTGAAGTAAACAAGTTATTGCATTCTGCCAGAGCCATCTACTGCTTGCATGGCTACGAGAATACCTAAATACAATTTTTTTTACACACCCAAAAATCATACATAGAAGGCAAGCTATATCGAGCTAGATCTTGGTAACTTAAAACATGTATATGATTACTGTAATTGCTCTAACTGTCATTTGTTTGTCAATTCTGGGGATGTCAACTGATGTTTTTCTGTCTGTCATACTGAGCAGACATATGCAGTCCTGCTAGCAGGAGAATATGTTCAACAAGTCGTTTGGGGCTCCCTTTGGGGGAGGGACTGGAGGATTTGGGACTTCATCCACATTTGGGCAACAAAGTAAGTAACAACAGTGGGTGCAAGTGTACAGTTAGCTTTAATGTATGTCCTGACAAGTTGAGTACCCCTATGGTTTCAAGCTTGTCTCATCAATGTCTTCGCCTCGGCATTCACGCTCAAGTCAAGTTAACTTGTTGTGGATTATAAGAGGGGTGGTGTTGACCCTGTGTTTGCAGACACAAGCTTTGGGGCGGCAACAGGTGGCTTCGGAGCCTCAGCGTTTGGGGCGACCAACAACACTGGAGGACTCTTTGGGGCAACGCAGAATAAACCAGGTTTGCCACATCTCCTTGATCCTGACTTTAACACGTTACTCACTCAGTGCCCACCTAGTCCTGGTGAATATTTCAGATTTGCTTCTGCTTGACATCCTGTAGTACAGGGTCCATAGCTGCTTTCCTTTACTGCTTTCCTTTAGACTTTGTTTCATTACAATCTCAGCTGAGGCCCAATAGCAGTGTGGTTTCTGCCACTACATTCTGGGTTTAGGAGCAGGCCAGTGTTCTCCATTGCAGTGGTTTAGGGATTAACGTTGCTGACATCTGAGGGTTTAGGATGATCATGTTCTTCATTTGAATGAAAAGCCACAGAAGAAAGGTGTCTGTGGTATAAGGTATTTTTTTTAATGTTGTGGTTCGAGCCCTGAATGCTGATTGGCTGAAAGCTGTGGTATGAGATTGTATACCACAGGTATGACAAAACATTTCTAATTACGTTTGTAACCAGTTTATAATAGCAATAAGGCACCTTAGGGGGTTTGTGATATATGGCCAATATACCACACCCCATAGTGCCTTATTGCTTAATTGTATAACCTGCATAACCACAGCAAAGTTACAGATTCCATTGTTACATTTCCCACTGGTGTATTAACAAAATAGTTTCAGGAGGTTTTACATGTGTCGATATGATAGGACTGATAAAGTATGATGTTGGGCATGTTTAAGACTAGCTTTTGTTCTGTCACGTCTACCTGAACAGTGAACCTGCATGATCACACTGCCACTCGCAGTAGCCCGAGAGCTGACTGTGCTCTATACATTTTACCATTATTCAATATACAATGGTGAGTGTTATCTGTGGCCGCCGTGATGCTGCTACTGATATGCGGTGGTTAAATATATGTGTCTAACCCCACCCTGTAATGCTTTACTCTCTCAAAAGTGGTGACAGCCAATCCTCAGCAAATCCACACTGGTGCAGGTAGAGGAGGTAAGCATTGGCTGCCGCGCGCGCACACACAACCCGCTCTTAAACAGGCGGCTGTGCACACACGAAAAGGCAGCGCACCCACAGTTGCTGTTATACTCTTGAAAAGGGGCTTCCGTGCATACAAAGTATATACAATATGTAGTATTTGGTTTGGAGCAAAGCCACAGTCTGTATTCTGCTCTTAAAGGGAGTGTGATCATGTAGACAGGTGGCACTGTTTATGGCCCTGTTGTGTCTTATATGTGAGAGAGTGAGTGGTGTATTTGTGCTGATTGAGAGGAAGAAAAAGGAGGTGTGGAGAGAGGAATGAAGGGCTGCATGTTTTGTGACGACCTCTCCTTGTGATGAATGAAATGATCAGGGCTCCTATAAACTAGTTCAGCTGGACCTAAATGTATGTACTGGCTTAGATCACAGATGCACAACTACAGTTCTAGAGGATCCTCGGTGAACATGAAACCAAACGATTGGCTCGGGTCCTACAATACTTTAAGTTGAGCACTCCTACAATAAGCCATAGAGACCTGTGTGTGAGCTGGTTTGATGTGGTGTGTGTCCCTCCCCAGGTGGCCTATTTGGTTCCAGTACATTCAGCCAGCCCGTGACGTCATCCACCAGTAGCGGCTTTGGCTTTGGCGCGTCCAGCGGCACGTCCACCAGCCTGTTCGGCAGCACCAACACGGGCGGCGGAGGACTCTTCTCCCAGCAGAGCAATGCCTTCGGAGCCGCCAAACCAGCCTCCTTTGGCAGTCAGTGTCTCTTTTTACTCTCTAGCGTTGATGTCTTTTAAACTGGTTTACCATAGAATTAGAATCAGTAGTAACAACAGGCATTCCCATTCAAATAAATTATCTGTGGCCGGTGGGACAATGGTCATATTAGGTGTTCTATATGGAGTGTAAGCTTAGAGTTCTGTGCCTTTCTCAGAGTTACATGTATGCAATAATGGCAAATAGAACCTGTTTTGGATTTTGATTATTTTGTAATGGCACTCCTATGGCCACTCCAGAGCCTTCTATTTAGCCTACAAAATAGTAGTAAATAGAGGGCTAAGGTCCGTTCTAGTAATTGTGATTCTATGCTGGTGTATAATGAGATCATGATGTGGAATACCGTTCATTTATTTTCTTTTAATATATATATTTTTGGTATTTTTATAGCCAAGCTACTCATGATGATGTATTGCTTGTTTGTGTTTTGCTTTTGAAGCGCATTGAGATTATGAAAATCGATATAGAAATTAAATTAATTATAACATTTCAGAAGGGTTTTAGATCACTCATGAGGAGGGGCATGTGTTTTCTTGGTCTGGTCACATCTACATCATCATAGATATCTGTCTAGATCATATTTTTTTTCATTTTATTTTCAGCGTTCGGCACGAGCACGGCCAGCAGTGGGGGGCTGTTTGGGACGACCAACTCCAACCCCTTTGGAGGGGCGTCTACCTCCTTGTTCGGAGCATCAGGGTTTACCCAGCAGGCTGCCCAGCCAGGCACCACCGTTAAGTTCAACGTAAGTTTGGCCTGAGTTTGGTGTATGGGGGGTGGGGGGGGGGGGGGGGGTCTGACTCGTGGGCTGCGAGTTTTTGGTTTGACAACAAACAGCCTTGTTTAGTCATGTTACCTGGCAAGCTAACACCCTTGACTATCACACATTTGGATGGCACAGGAAAAAAGGAGAAGGGATAGTACTCAGAGATGCTTCAAAGGTAGGATGCATATGCATCCTAGGCCTATGCGTAGCCTTTTCTATTATACAGTAAAAAGTACAGTGTTTCCCCTATATTAATTTATAGTTGCCGCCACTCCAAAAAATATGATGGTAAAACATTTTCTTTGTTATATATATATTTAATAAGATCATCTTTGAGAACTAACAATCACCAAAATAAATACGGACAGTCAGGGAGAATAAAAAATTCAAAAAATGTCATTTTGTTGTGAGTCACTCAGCTAGCATAAGAATACGTCATAAGCCATGGCAAAATGTGTAGCATTGCATGAAATTAGCTTTAAAACAGCAACAGTCTCTGCGGCCAAGAGGAGGGCCTCTAAAATGTGCTGTCGGAGACCGCTCCGTTGGCCACACCCACTACCACTCGGTATCGTGATACTTGGCCTGGTATTACATCGTTAGTAAAATGTTGGTATTATGACAACCTCATTCTGAAAATAGGCCAAATTAATTGCAGTTTACAGATTTTTGACGTTTCTGTGCACATTTATTTATTCTCACCTTTTTGGACCCTCACTAGTTTTCATCCCTGTGACCTAGGCTAGCCCACTACACCTGGGCCAAACTGCTGTACTAGGACTCTTTGCCATGTGTCGTATACCAAATATTATTTTATCAGGAATGTACTTAATGTTGTATGTCTATGCAACTCTTTACTGTAATCCTAATTCAGAGGTCAGCTTTCTCTGCTATGTGTACGAGTAATCAGTTCATCCTGCTCTAATACAGTAGAGGAGTTTGTATCCCATTGAATGTCCTCTTCTGTTCTCCAGCCTCCAACAGGAAGTGACACCATGGTGAAAGGGGGTGTGACCGCGAGCATCAACACCAAGCACCAGTGCATCACGGCCATGAAGGAGTATGAGAACAAATCACTGGAGGTGGGTCATCATTAGGCATTTACTTTCACCTGGTCACTATCTTTCAGATCAGTGAAAATGGAAGGGAAAGAGATGAGGAGAGGGATCCACTTTAGAGTATTGAGATACAGCCAGCCCTCTCTCACCCCCTCTCTCCTGTGTGGTGTTGTCTCTGTGTAGGAGCTGAGGTTTGAGGACTACCAGGCAGGGAGGAAGGGACCCACTAACCCTATGGCTGCACCAACAGGGGGTCTCTTTGGGACTGCAGCCGCAGCCACCCCCAGTACAGGGGCTACAGGGCTGTTCGGCTCCTCAGCCACCAACACAGGCTTCTCCTTCGGCCAGGCCAAAACCTCCTTCGGAACTAGTAAGTCACACAGGCCCATAGACAGAGCCCTAAAGAAAATATAAATACGTATTATATCGGAATGTTGTAACTCCCTCTGTCCCCAGGTACGGGTGGGTTTGGTACAGCCACAGGCAGTCTGTTTGGGCAGCAGCAGCCCCAGCAGGCCCAGCAGGCAGCCAGCCTGTTCAAGCCCTTCGGCCAGGCCACAACAACCCCCAACACAGGCTTCTCCTTCGGCAACACCAGCACCATGGGCCAGCCCCAACAAACCAGCACCATGGTGAGAGCCCACACGCACATGTTAATACAAGCCTAACATAGTACCATTCCAGTAGAGTAACTTTCTTTCCATCCCAGGGGGGTCTGTTTGGGGCCACGGCAGCGTCCCAGGCAGGGGGGTTGTTTGGAAACACCGCTCAGACCACACCAGCTACGGGCTTTGGGACGGGCACCGGGCTCTTCGGACAAACCAACACTGCTTTCGGCAACGTCGGCACACAGGTATTAATGGACTCAACTGCTCACGCCTTTGCACAGTTTGTATTTATTATGGATCCCCATTAGCTGCTGCCAAGGCAGCAGCTACTCTTCCTCGGGTCGAGCAAAATTAAAGCAGTTATACATAAAAATAAAATAAAAACATAACAATACATTCATAACAGATTTCACAGCACACTAAGTGTGTGCCCTCAGGCCCCTACTCCACTACCACATATCTACAACACAAAATCCATGTGTACGTGTGTGTATAGAGCGTATGTTATCGTGTGTGTGTATGCATGTGTCTGTGCCTATGTTTGTGTTGCTTCACAGTCCCCGCTGTTCCATAAGGTGTATTTTAATCAGTTACCTGATGTGGAATAGAGTTCCATGTAGTCATGGCTCTATGTAGTATTGTGCGCCTCCCATAGTCTGTTCTGGACTTGGGGACTGTGAAGAGACCTCTGGTGGCATGTCTTGTGGGTGTCTGAGCTGTGTGCCAGTCGTTCAAACAGACAGCTCGGTGCTTTCAACATGTCAACACCTCTCACAAACACAAGCAGTGATGAAGTCAATCTCTCCTCCGCTTTGAGCCAGGAGAGATTGACATGCACATTATTAATGTTTGCTCTCTGTGTACATCCAAGGGCCAGCCTTGCTGCCCTTATTTGAGCCAATTGCAATTTGTGGCACCTGACCACACGACTGAACAGTAGTCCAGGTGCAATAAAACTAGAGCCTGTAGGACCTGCCTTGTTGATAAAAAGGTAGAGCAGCGCTTTATTATGCACAGACTTCTCCCCATCTTAGCTACTGTTGTATAAATATGTTTTGACCATGACAGTTTACAATCCAGGGTTACTCCAACCGTTTTAGTCACCTCAACTTGCTCATTCTCCACATGTATTTATTACAAGATTCAGTTGAGATTTTGAGTTTATTGAATGATTTGTTCCAAATACAATGCTTTTAGTTTTAGAAATATTTAGGACTAACTTATTCCTTGCCACCCACTCTTTAAGTGTTGCAGTCATTTCAGTCGCTGTAGTAGCTGAGATGTATGGTGTTGAGTCATCCGCATACATAGACACTCTGGCTTTACTCAAAGCCAGTGGCATGTCATTAGTAAAGATTGAAAAAAGTAAAGGGCCTAAACAGCTGCCCTGGGGAATTCTTGATTCTACCTGGATTATGTTGGAGAGGCTTCCATTAAAGAACACCCTCTGTGTTCTGTTAGACCGGTAACTCTGTATCCACAATATAGCAGGTGGAGTAAAGCCATAACACAGGTTTTTCCAACAGCAGACTATGATCGATAATGTCAAAAGCCGCACTGAAGTCTAACAAAACAGCCCCCACAATCTTTTTATCATCAATTTCTCTCAGCCAATCATCAGTCATTTGTGTAAGTGATGTGCTGGTTGAATGTCCTTCTCTATAAGCATGCTGAAAGTTTGTTGTCAATTTGTTTACGTAAAATAGCATTGTATCTGGTCAAACACAATTTTTTCCAATAGTTTACTAAGGGTTGGTAACAGGCTAATTGGTCGGCTATTTGAGGCAGTAAAGGGGGCTTTACTATTCTTAGGTAGCGGAATGACTTTTGCTTCCCTCCAAGCCTTGGGGCACACACATTCTAGTAGGCTTAAATTGAAAATAGGGCAAATAGGAGTGGCAATTTCGTCCGCTATTATCCTCAGTAATGTTCCATCCAAGTTGTCAGACCCCGGTGGCTTGTCATTGTTGATAGACAACAATAATTTTTTCACCTCTTCCACACTCACTTTACGGAATTCAAAATTACAACGTTTGTCTTTCATAATTTGGTCAGATATACTTGGATGTGTACTGTCAGCAATTGTCTGGCATGGCATGCCTAAATTTGCTAATCTTGCCAATGAAAAAATCATTAAAGTAGTTGGCAATATCAGTTGGTTTTGTGATGAATGAGCCATCTGATTCAATGAATGATGGAACTGAGTTTGCCTTTTTTCCCAAAATTTCATTTAACGTGCTCCAAAGCTTTTTACTATCATTCTTTATGTCATTTATCTTTGTCTCATAGTGTAGTTTCTTCTTTTTATTCAGTTTAGTCACATGATTTCTCAATTTGCAATTTGTTTGCCAATCGGTTGTGCAGCCGGACTTATTTGCCATTCCTTTTGCCCTCTCAACCATACCATTTTTCAATTCCTCATCAACACAGGGATTCAACTGTTTTTACAGTCATTTTCTTAATAGGTGTATGCTTATTAGTAACTGGAATAAGACATTTCATAAATGTGTCAAGTGCAGTGTCTGTTTGCTTCTCATTACACACCACGGACCAACATATATTCTTTACATCAACAACATAGGAATCACTACAAAACGTATTGTATGACCTCTTATACACTATATTAGGCCCAACCTTTGGAACTTTGGTTTTCCTAGATATGCCTACTATATTGTTATCACTACATCCAATGGATTTGGATACTGCTTTCAAACAAATCTCTGCAGCATTAGTAAAGATATGATCAATACATGTTGATGATTTAATTTCTGTACTGTTTGTAACTACCTTGGTAGGTTGACTGATAACCTGAACCAGGTTGCAGGCACTGGTTACAGTTTGAAGCTTTCTCTTGAGTGGGCAGCCTGATGAAAGCCAGTCAATATTTAAATCACCCAGAAAGTATACCTCTTGATATCACATACATTATCAAGCATTTCACACATGTTATCCAGATACTGACTGTTAGCACTTGGTGGTCTATAGCAGCTTCCCACCAGAATGGTCTTCAGGTGAGGCAGATGAACCTGTAGCCATATTACTTCAACAGATCCTCTCTAATCTTCACAGGAATGTGGTTCTGAATATAAACAGCAACACCTGCACCATTAGTATTTCTATATTTTCTGTAAATGTTATAACCTCGTATTGCTACCACTGTATCATCAAAAGTATTATCTAAGTGAGTTTCGGAGATAGTCAGAATATGAATGTAATCTGTTACTAGCAAATTATTGATTTCGTGAACCTTGTTTCTTTAGCTACATATGTTAACGTGGGCTATTTTGAGCACTTTTCTTCTGGGATGCTTACTTGTTTTTATTGCTTTACTGGGAAGCTTAGCAGCAGTAGATGTGCTCGTGTTTGGGACAGTGTGATGGTTGTATAGTAATTCGGTCTCTGTCTGTCTGTACTCTTGTCCCTAGCAGAGCTTGTTTGGTAATAAGACGGCAGGGTTTGGTGCCACCACCACCAGCGCCCCGTCGTTTGGCACGGGTACTGGCCTCTTCGGCAACAAACCCGCCCTCACTCTCGGAACAGCTACCAACACATCCAACTTTGGTGAGTTGATAATCTGCCCTTATTTGAATGCACCTGTGTGATAAATGCTAGTACATGCTAATAAACCGTCTGTAGGGCTGGGCGGTATACCGTATTAGACTATATACCAATATTGTTGCATGGATCGGTTTGGGTTTTTACCTTCTATAACGGTATTTCAATGTTTGGTTTGTGAAATGTGATCCGCAACTCCGGCACGTGTAATGTCTGTTTTTATAGTTTACTCCGGTTGCTACTTGTCGTCTTTCTCCCTCTCCTCTTGCTGCATGCCGTTTCCCACACCAAGCCCTGCCCCCTGTTAATCAAGGAGTGAGCAGTTGCTCGACCACGGAGTCACGAGCACTTTCTTGCCATTCACTCTGCAGTCTGCATGGTCAGATACAGTGCCGTGAAAAAGTTTTCACCACTTTCTGATTTTCTTTATTTTTTGCATATTTATTTTTATACTGAACGTTATCAGATCTTCAACCAAAACCTAATATTGGATAAAGGGAACCTGAGTTTACAAATAACTATTAAAAAAATTGTGAGAGACTGATCAACAACTACAGGAAGCATTTGGTTGCAGCCATTGCAGCTAATGGTGGCACAACCAGTTATTGAGTAAGGGGGCAATTACTTTTTCATACAAGATAATTGAGTGTTGCATAACTTTGTTTATGAAATAAGTATGTAATTGTTATTTGTTCACTCAGGTTCCCTTTATCTGATATTAGGTTTTGGTTGAAGATCTGATAACATTCAGTAACAAAGATATGCATACGTAGAGAAAATTAGAAAGGGGGCAAATACTTTTTACAGCACTGTGGATGCAGAAAGATGTTGGTGACAAAGATGCTGTTTTCTACAAGCGTTCTATAATTCCACTTAGTTTGTAGGGATGGGGATTTGAAATGTTTTAACTGTTCGAGTACTCTCATCATTTTTTTACGATTACTCTACCAAAAAAATTAAAAGATTCTAGAGCACAAATCCTGCACTGGAAAACAATGTGCACATTTACAGTTACTTCAGAAAGTATTCATACCCCTTGACTTATTCCACAATTTGTTGTTACAGCCTGAATTCAAAATTGATTAAAAATATTTTTATCTCACCCATCTACACACACACATAATGACAAAGTGAGAACATGTTTTTAGACATTTATTTTCAAATCTTTTGAAAATGAAATACACATCTAATTTACATAAGTATTTACACCCCTGAGTCAACAATTTGTAGAAGCACCTTTGGCAGCAATTATAGTTTAGTCTTTCTGGGTAAGTCTCTTAGAGCTTTCCACACCTGGATTGTGCAACATTTGCCCATTATTCTTTTCAAAATTCTTCAGGCTCTGTCAAATTGGTTGTTGATCATTGCTAGACAACTATTTTCAGGTCTTGCCGTAGATTTATGTCAAAACAGTAACTCGGCCACTCAGGAACATTCACTGTCTTCTTGGTAAGCAACTCAAGTGTAGATTTGGCCTTGTGTTGTAGGTTATTGTCCTGTTTAAAGGTTAATTCATCTCCCAGTGTGGTGGAAAGCATACGGAACCATGTTTTCCTCTCAGATTTTGCCTGTACTTAGCTCCATTCTGTTTATTTTTTATGCTGAAAAACTTCCCAGTCCTTAACGATTACAAGCATACCCATAACATGATGCAGCCACCACTATGCTTGAAAATATGGAGAGTGGTACTCAGTAATGTGTTGTATTGGATTTGCCCCAAACAGCACTTTGTATTCAGGATGAAAAGTGAATTGCTTTGTCACATTTCTTTGCAGTATTGCTTTAGTTCCTTGTTACATCAATGCATATTTTGGAATATTTTTATTCTGTACAGGCTTCCTCTTCCCTCTGTCAATTAGGTTAGTATTGTGGAGGAACTACAATGTTGTTGATCCATCCTCAGTTTTTTCTCCTATCACAGCCATTAGACTCTGTAACTGTTTAAAATGTAATGTAAATGTAAATTCACCATTGGCCTCATGGTGAAATCCCTGCTGGTTTTCTTCCTCTCTGACAACTGAGTTAGGAAGGACTCCTATATCTTTGTAGTGACTGGGTGTATTGATACACCATCCAAAGTGTAATTAATAACTTCACCATGCTCAAAGGGATATTTAATGTCTGCCTTTTTTATTTGTACCAATGGGTTCCCTTCTTTGCGAGGCATTGGAAAACCTCCCTGGTCTTTGGTTGAATCTGTGTTTGACATTCACTAATCGACTGAGGGACCTTACAGATAATTGTTTGTGTGGGGTACATAGATGAGGTAGTGTTTAACCATTTCTTAATTACTATTATTGCACACAGTGAGTCCATGCAACTTATTATGTGACTTGTTAAGCATATTTATTTACTCTTTAACTTATTTAGGCTTGACATAACAGCTTTTCATTTTTTATTAATTGGTAATAAAAAATGTAAAACACAATTCCACTTTGACGTTATGGGCTATTGTGTGTAGGCTAGTGACAAACAATCTAAATGTAATCCGTTTTAAATTCAGGCTGTAACACAACAAAATGTGGAAAAAGTCAGTGGGTGTGAATATTTTCTAAAGGCACTGTATTGGTATGCCAACAGTGCGCAACAATGCCTAATTAATCATAACCATTACCGATAACAAATCCTAATGGCTAAATTGCCCCATTTTATATATTGTCAATAAAATAAAATAAAGCCATTTTAAATTAATTTATTGAAACCATGATATCAACTGGTTATATTATATCGTGGAACACAATCTTCAAAAAGGCAGTAACCTCAGGAGTGGTGCTTGCTTGTAGAAGCCTGTGGCTGTGCAATGGCATTAGGGTTGGGCGATGTCAACCTTTGTCCTATTGTGACGATCTACCTATAAAACATTGATATACCCCAAAAAATTATTTAAAAGTAATAATATATATTTCATAACCCCACTACGACAGTTTGGCTATAGCGCGAAATCAAATTCAACTGGAGCAATCATGAAGAAATGTGTTGTTGAAAGCCTGGGTAGAGGCTAAGTGCAGGCAATGCCAAATATTTTATTTTATGTTCCTTTCGGGTGAAAGAGCAGAACAGGTGCGTGTCTGTTTCTATCTGTGTGGCAGGCACACGATGGAGCAGTGACTGTCTGAGGAACGGGCTGTCTTACCGTAGTGAGCTCGGTTATAGGCCTACATCATGGTCTGGAAAGACGCAGTCTAAACATACACATTTTAGACATTTAGCAGACGCTCTTATCCAGAGTGACTTACAGTAGTGCGTGCATACGTTCTTCAGAATTGAATAATAATTGCTTTATTTGCCTCAAAATAAATATTGTTTATTCCATCTCTCATCAAGCTGTGATTGAGAATAGCTTAGACTTTCATTGTTATTTTTGAAAGTCACAACAACTTTAGGACAACACCTTTCGTTGGCTAGAGTATTTGAGAATTATACAATGGGAGGGTCTAATCCTGAATGCTGATTGGTTAAAACCGCATTCCAGACGGTGTCTATTCCACAAGTTGCCATCCGCTAAATCTATGACGTTAAAATGCCTATTTACTCTGTTCCATCTGACTGCGCAATCCACTCTCTCATCAGCCCAGCCAGGCAATTTATAAACTTGATCTCCACTATAAAAAGCATCTAGACATTGTCTCACATTTCTTTTAGACTAACATTTCGTTTTCAACAGCGGAGAATTGTATAAACCTTGCTGTCTGTCTCTCCAACATTTGCAACGTTGTTTCAATATTCAAATTCGATTTCCTGCTGTCCCATAGTAATGAACGTGTCGGGACGAGACAGGCAGCGTTTCTCACCCAGTCATAATCATGAATCAGCTGGCATCAATTTTATGGATATATACAAAAAATGTCAATTGAAAAAAGCTTAAAAAAACTAAACGCAGCTAATTTGAAGTCTTTCCAGCTTCAGTTTGAAGTGATTGTGTTACTAGCTGCTGTGTTGGCTAGCTCCTCTGAACAACAGTGTCCTGACGAGTGAGCACATTTTCTATGCCAGGTGAAATCGCACCTCATTGGCTCATTGTTATGGATGTATCCATAATAAATGTCACTGGAAAACAGTTTATGCAAATGCAGCTACTTTGCTGTTATTCTGGCTGCACTTTTTGACGTGACTAAGTTAGCCGTAGTTAGCTAGCTGGCAAGCAAGGGATAAGAACGTTGCCAGGCAGTATGGCAATGGAACATTTAGAACGAACGGCTGGGTCGCGTCCATAGATATAGAACAAAAAGACTGAACAACAGGGTTGCGTCTCTAGCAACCCTACATTTGTGTCGGGACTATATCTTGTGGAAGGATGAAATGGTATGAATAAATGAATCAATGTTTTTTATGAAGATATGTCAATCATTATTTGAATATGTTTGTCTCTGGCCTAACAACACCCATGCCAATATCCTCCAAACACCGGCTTCGAGGGCATTATAACTTAAATAAGCTACTGTTCATAACTTTAACTAGCCTAAAAGGATAGGAGGATAGGTTATTGGCCACTTGGTTTTCAACCACGCATGGAGGGATTTTCACAGCCCGCAAGGATAATTTCTTTCTTAAGGTTGTCATTAGATGTTTGATATTGTTTGTTCTCTCTCATTATTAGTCCCCTGGCTTCCCTATGTTTTAAGCTATGCAAGTAACCCTTTGAGATGGAACTCCCGATCGTGAGAAAGCCATGTATAAAACGCTGAATCATAGCCTATCAAATGGAGAGATAGTCTCCTGAGTGGCGCAGTGGTCTAAGGCACTGCATCGCAGTGCTAGCTGTGCCACTAGAGATCCTGGTTCGAATCCAGGCTCTGTCGCAGCCGGCCGCGACCGGGAGACTCATGGGCGGCGCACAATTGGCCTAGCGTTGTCCAGGGTAGGGGAGGGAATGGCCGGCAGGGATGTAGCTCAGTTGATAGAGCATGGCGTTTGCAACGCCAGGGTTGTGGGTTCGATTCCCACGGGGGACCAGTTTGAAAAAAATATATATATATACAAAAATTTGTATAAATATATATATATGTATTCACTAACTGTAAGTCGCTCTGGATAAGAGCGTCTGCTAAATGACTAAAATGTAAATGTAAATGTAATAACGGAATATAGGCAAGTTATTTTTTGTTTTACCGCTAGACACAAGATACGGTAGGTAAGGAGTATATGTTATATAAAAACAATAGGTGTATGCTATAGCCTAATGCCTATGCATCCAACAGACAGAATGAGAGAAACAATTTCTGACTGGATATTCTACACTGCTTTGATGGAATTCTGCACTCTGTCTCTGGCCTGCATTCCGCTCTTGTGAATCTATCAAGCAGTTTATTTTTATTTTTTAAATTTTGTGTGCATATTTTCAGTGTGGAACCTATCTATGTTTATGGGGTTATAGCCTAGGCTAACCAATTCTAAATGGCACTAGCAGTTCGCAAAGTAGCCTAAATGGAAAAAAGACAGGATGCAATTATTCTAAAACTGCAGCTAGTTGTTGGAACACATACAGGATTTCCCTACTTCAATCAACCATTCCATTTTGAATTTGTGATAAAACTCACGCCATTTGGCAAGGAATGTAGCTTCTGTATCCTGTCAGTTAGATACGTTTTTATAGGCATTTATTTCTGTAGCCCTAACAGGAGCTTGTGGGGAGCGATCAGAATGCAATTGAGTGAGAAGAACTGTGATGCTTGGCTTGGTTTCTTTTTTGTTTCGCCCCTTAAATGAACATGTACAAATGGAACACTAGAGTCAAAGCAAGTTTGTATTTTCTTAGCAAGTTCTGGCCCAAATAAATCGTGTTGGCCACTAATTGCTAGTTAGCTGGCTACATTTGTCCACGCAAATGTAGCCAGCTAATACAGCCTGGTACCAGTACTGGTGTAGGCCTTGATGAGCATGTTTGTGCAACGGTATCTTCTATATCAGAGAGGAATCGGCGAAGCTTGCATTCGAAATCACATGCTAACACACGCACTCTACACACACACTTTAATATTGTTATTTTGTATTGTAAATATGTTATGGTAGAGTAGTGTGTAATATGGTATTGTTTTATTGTATGTAAGCGTAGCTGCTGCCTTGGCAACCGCTATTGGAGATCCGTAATAAATACAAATGTTACACGAGGTAAGAAAATGTAATATAATATAACACTGACCAACACTTTGGTTCCTACCCTGTCAATAATTCCTCTCTGGCTTATTCATTCGTTGTCATGTCAAACAACAATGTATTCAAGGTGCTGCCCACTATATTCCAACTATAGAGTTCCATGATTCCAACAGTTCACCAATTTACTATGCCTAAATGCTTTGCACATATCATGTTGCTCTGCGTGGCAGTGTGGAAAAGATAACAAAAATGCAAAAATGGATGAAAATGCCACCATTTTTTTTGAAGTTCAATTGAAGTGTATAAAACAAGCAGAATGGAGAAAGACCCATTAAAATCACTTCTAATTTATGTTGCCACCCAATGGTCATGAACTACTCATAAAGCATATTTAGAACTTTTATTGTTAAAAAATATAAGATCCCATTATACTGTAAAAACATATTACAAATATTGTGATATGATATTTTGGCCATATCGCCTAGCCCTACTTATAGATGATAGTATTGGCTATGTCAGTGACCATGTTCTGTGTTGTGTGAAGGTTTTGGACCCACCGCTGCTGGCGGAAGCCTCTTTGGGAACAAGACGGCAGCAGGAGGACTAGGGTCCGGGCTGGGAGCCGGCTTTGGAGCAGGTATGAACAGAACGGATGACACTTCCAGAGCACAATAGGCCTGGCATACATTTGATAGTGAAATGTAATGTTAACATCTTCTCATGTATCGTATGGAAGATAATAAATAAACCACAAATGCATCAAATATCCATCATTTTTTAAAAATAGCAAAAACAAAGACCTGCCTTTTTGGGTGTGTTTTATCTAAATCTTTATGATGTCAGTCATTAGTCTGTGTGTGTTTCTCTGAGTGTGTGTTCTGTGTTTGTCAACAGTAGGCACTGGGCCGATGTCTCTGTTTGGGAATAACAAGACGCTGGGTTCCACTCTGGGAACAATGGGAGGGTTTGGAGTGCAGGGATTCAGCACAGGAACCAACACTCTAGGCTTCGGAGCGCCACAACAGCCCGTCGGTAAATACCACTTCTGTCTACCACCTATCACCACCTCTCTCTGTCCAGTCTGAAGCTGAATGTGATAACACATCCCTCGCCCTTTTCTCTAGTACAGTGGTATTCAAATGTTTTCAGCGGGGACCCTATTTTCTTCCCAATAATTTATTGCAACGCCACCACACCCCAAATCTAATGACACAACCTTAAAATCAGTACATTTTTACATCAACAAATAAGCTTAAATTCATTGCATTTTTTAAAAATCTCTTATCAAAATGAAAAGAAACCAATTAATACATTTACTCAATAAAATGTTATCTTTTCAAATTATCTTTCTCAAAAACGTTTGTATATTGTCCCACACAATAATCTGTACTCTTAATTTCCCCACTGCAGTTTCCCTGCGTGCCCTACTTTGAATACCTCTGCTCTAGTACCTAGTCGTATTACTCTTTCAGTGTACTGAAGAAACTGTCTGGATAAAATTACACAATGTGGTGTGAACTTCCCATAGCCATTGAAGGCTCGATGAATCTATAATCCTAATTCTTACGCCTCTTTCATTTCTCTCTCTTCTCAGCGCTGATGGACCCTAACGCGGTGGCGGCCCAGCAGGCAGTGCTGCAGCAGCAGATCAATGCTCTGGCCTACTCCCCCTTCGGAGACTCCCCCCTCTTCAGAAACCCCCTCTCTGACCCCAAGAAGAAGGAGGAGCGTCTGAAGCCCACCAATCCGGCGGCCCAGAAGGCGTTGACCACGCCAACTCACTACAAGCTGACACCGCGGCCTGCGACACGTGTGCGGCCCAAAGCTCTGACATCATCGGGCTCCTCCAAGTCCCAGCTGTTTGATGGGTTGGATGACGACGAGCCTTCTCTCACCAACGGAGCCTTCATTCCCAGGTAGGTGTCCGTCTGGAAATTTGCTTCTAACTAGTTCACATGTTTCGGTTTCCACTGATTTACTGAATTTTTGTTAGCGGATACTACAACTTGGTTTTCTGTGGTTTTCAATAGCTTTTCACCTCTTGTATGTAACGTCTTGTATGAGGTGCATCTATATGCTTTTGTCTGTCTGCTGACCGTGATGTTGGTGTATGGTATCTGATCTGTGTGTTTTTCTGTGGTGTTATATACCAGGAAGAGCATCAAGAAGCTGGTGCTGAAGAACCTGAATGGCAGCAGCCTGTACAGCAGCCCAATCAACAGAGACTCCGACGACCTGTCCTCTCCACCAGAGTACCCCCTCAACGGACTCGGGTCAGAAACTCACACACACTCCGTTAACATTTCAAATATTTATCTATGGGGTGTTGGTTGCTGACCATGTCTCTCTCCCGTCTCTCCCCTACAGTGCCAGTGTGGACGAGGATGATGATGTGAGGGAGGTGGTGGAGGGAGGAGCCGAGGACCACCTGGAGATCAACAAGTTCTACACCAATCCCATAGCCAAGCCCATCCCCCAGCCCAGCCTGCAGGACACCATCTCAGAGCTCAACGCCCATAGGGTGGGGGCTAGGGGCAGGAACGGGCTGGAGGTGAGCTGATAGTGAAAAGGAGTAGACAGACAGTGAATATGGTTGTCTCAAATGACACCTGATTCCTCATAAAGGGCACATCTTTTTTAGTCACGCTCCTCAGATAGTGCACTACTTTAGAGATTTTTGACATGACTGTTCTGAACCTGCCTCCTCTGATTTCAGGTGAGCAGCGAGGACATATCGCTGGGAGATGACTCCATACAGGAGGAGCGAGAGGAAGAGGTGCCCCCCCACCCTGCAGGTATCGTTCTGGGCCGTGTGGGCTACTACACAATCCCCGCCATGGACGAGCTGGCCAAAATGGTGGACGAAAACGGAGTGTGTGTTGTGGAGAACTTCACCGTGGGCAGAAAAGGTAAAAGACTCTTGATTGGTCGGGTGGGCACCGCTCTTTAAAACAATTGGTTGGTAGCTCACTGCTCTGCTCTCTGATTGGCTCTCAGGTTACGGCTCAGTGTTCTTCCATGGTGAGGTGAACGTGACGGGGCTGAACCTGGATGAGATTGTTCACTTCAGACGTAAAGAGGTCATAGTCTACCTCGACGACAAGAACAAGCCCGCTGAGGGGGAGGGGCTCAACAGGTCAGTGACAGGATGGGACAGGGATACACAGCTACACCGGGACAGGGAAACGTTCTCCCTTTCACACTGGGGACAATGTTGTTATCAGTTTCCTTGTAATGCCATCATCACAGATGTAATAAACTGATTTGACATATTCTGATAGTGATCACAGCTGAGGCATAACTCAAGTTAATATTATCCTTATTTCCTCTTCCTTTCTCTCATCCTTTACCTCTACTCTTTACTTCCCCATGTTCTTTTATCTCTTTCTCCCTCACTCCTCCCCTCTCCTAGGCGAGCAGAGGTGACTCTGGATGGGGTGTGGCCTAATGATAAGACCACTTGTACTCAGATAAAGAGCCCTGAGCGTCTGTCTGAGATTAACTACGAGGGCCGCCTGGAGAACGCCTCACGCAAACAGGGCGCCCGCTTCCTCGAGTACCGCCCCGAGACCGGCTCCTGGGTGTTTGAGGTAAGCATGCCTAGACACACACACACACACACACACCTTCTGTGTGTATCTATTTCTCCCTTCCATGTCTAACTCCCCTCTCCCTGTGTCTGCAGGTGGCCCATTTCTCTAAGTACGGCCTGCACGACTCTGACGAGGATGAGGACGTCCCTCTCAAAGTGGACCCCAAGAAGCTGAAGACTGCCACAACACTTCCACCAGGGCTGCAGCAGCTGCCTACCTTCCAGCAGCAGGAGGCGCCACAAGCTCAGGTAGACGGCGCAGCACAGCACGCCCACCCACCCACACTGACAGTCAGACTCGCTGTTTTCTACATCACCTGGATGGCCTTAGTCAATATACAACCTAAATATACACGATGATCTGAACAGAAGCAGTGTTTCCTTTCCACTACCATTACTACCACATGCAGTGTGTGAGGCCTTCTGCCTAGATCTCTGCTGTTTCCCCACTCCTATTATGGGTTGTAATTCAATAGGTTTCTATGAAAAATGGTTTTAAGTTTGGTAGCCCAGGATGATGGTCTTGGTGGTCTCTGCACCCCCAAATAAGGCTATTAAACATCGATCTGACATCACATGATCAGATGGGAAACACCCACATGTTCTATATATCAGTGGTGTGGGGAGATATGGGTTCTCCTATCCGCCCAGGTTCACCGGTACCTGAGGTGCCACAACGCACCAATCACTTGGATTGCGCAAGTCTGTCAGTCCTGCTTAGTGGTTACGTTCTGTCCCTCGCAACCAATTAAGAATGAGCACCTTCATCTGTGCTCTAAATCTTAACTATCCTGAGCTTAACATCAGCCTGGATCCGTAGCAATGGCATGAAGTAATCAGTGGATTGAAAATAAGATGTTTTAAGGGCTGAGTGTTGAATGAGGTTTTTAGATCAAAATAAATCAAACTGATTAAGGAAATGTTTGACGTGACGTCTAACTCTGAAGTAGAGTTTGTGAGATTCCTTAAATGAAATCTGTATTGTAAAATTTTAGTTTTATTTGCAGACTGTTTGTCCCATCTGCTAGGTGTTTAAAGTCTAATACAATGTACAAATGGTTTAATACTGATTATGGTAACTTCAGAAAACATCACATTACCATGGTTGTACCTAATAAAAAGCCAGTATTTATGCAGAGATGTTAAACATGACAATTTCTGTTCACAGAATATATTTTTGATTCATAGTTGCTTTTGTTTATCTTTTTCAAACAAGCTTTTAAAAATTGACGAAAGATGAGTGATGTGCGATAACCTGCAGTTCTTGGGCAACTCTGCCAGTCCTGCAGAATATATTCAGGGTTAGGTCTTCTGTCTGGTTGAGGGTTTAAGAAACTCAACAACTACTCTTGGGGTATTATTGAGTCACCCTACGACTTCTCTTATTATGTAAAACCTGCTCCTATATACATCTGTGATATCTTGTATCTGATAATGTTATGAAATAAACTGATTAAAGATAACACATTTTTCTGGTATGTCAGACTTGTTTATGTAGAGAAGAAAAGCATGTTTATTGAGAGTGATGTCCACCATATGTGGTCTTCTTGTCCACACACCTGTACCATCTGCTCTGACCAGTGGAGCTCACTGTCCTGGAACCAACTGCTCTGAATACAGATACTGACATTTTACATTTTACTTACTTACATAATCTGATTACGCTAAACTGATTTTGTGTGTGTGTTTCTTCTTGGGGTGTGTGTGTGTGTGTTTCTTCTTGGTGTGTTTCACTGCTGTGTGTGTTTGGCGGCACTTTCCCTGCTGTGTGTGTCCAGTCCACAGCAGTGCTGGAGCTGCTGAATCGTGTGTCGGAGGTGGACAGTGATATGGCTGACATTACCCAGGATGCCCCAGGCGAGAGCATTTTGGGGGGTGAGGAAGGGGAGAGTGTCATGGGGGAGGAGAAGGGAAGTCGGCTGGGGACTGTGACCCCTGTGGAACACGACTCTGTCTCAGCGTCCAGTCAGATCGCCTCCTCGCTGGGGATCAACCCTCACACACTACAGGTAGCATACTACTGTACACTCTCACACTCCACCTGTTTAAGGATAATGGTGTGGGTGGTTGGTGTGTTTTCCCTCACTCACATCATGAAGGTAGAGTGTTTTTGATGTGTGTTTCTCTTTTCTCAGATCATGAAGGCATCCCTGTTTGCTGAGGATGATGATGATATGTTCCAGGAGCAGGGAGGGATGAAAAGTTCTCTAGACGTGACCTCTCCTCACATCCACCTGCCTGGCACGCAGGGCAGGCCCTCCAGTAAGTGTCACACACAGCCCAAACACTCTGATTTATACCCTCACAAACAGTCACCCAACAACAAATAATAACAAGATAACTAATAATGTAAGCATACTGTGTCCATAATAAGTATATAGGTTGTAGGTTGGGAGCTTTTGTGAAAGAGCACAGTTAGAAAGATATGGCATATAGAAGCAAACCGGATGGACATAATGAAAATGATTGGAGAGGTTGAGAGTAGAAGAAGTTCAGGAGAAAAAACTAACAAAATATAATTATTGTAAAATTGACTGTGTCCATAAAATGTAGAAACTAAGTATAAACTGGAAGTAGAGGCCTAAGCATTGTTGTTCACTAGTTTACTCTAAGTAGGGAAAGGGTGGCGGGTTTGGAAAGTAATAAAGGGGAATATATATATATATATATATATTATTTTTTTAAGGATGTGTATGTGTGTGTGTGTATACAGTGAGGGGAAAAAAGTATTTGCTGATTTTGTACATTTGCCCACTGACAAAGACATGATCAGTCTATAATTTTAATGGTAGGTTTATTTGAACAGTGAGAGACATAATAACAACAAAAAAATCCAGAAAAACGCATGTAAAAAATGTTATAAATTGATTTGCATTTTAATGAGGGAAATAAGTATTTGACCCCCTCTCAATCAGAAAGATTTCTGGCTCCCAGGTGTCTTTTTATACAGGTAACGAGCTGAGATTAGGAGCACACTCTTAAAGGGAGTGCTCCTAATCTCAGTTTGTTACCTGTATAAAAGACACCTGTCAACAGAAGCAAGCAATCAATCAATCAGATTCCAAACTCTCCACCATGGCCAAGACCAAAGAGCTCTTCAAGGATGTCAGGGACAAGATTGTAGACCTACACAAGGCTGGAATGGGCTACAAGACCATTGCCAAGCAGCTTGGTGAGAAGGTGACAACAGTTGGTGCGATTATTCACAAATGGAAGAAACACAAAATAACTGTCAATCTCCCTCGGCCTGGGGCTCCATGCAAGATCTCACCTCGTGGAGTTGCAATGATCATGAGAACGGTGAGGAATCAGCCCAGAACTACATGGGAGGATCTTGTCAATGATCTCAAGGCAGCTGGGACCATAGTCACCAAGAAAACAATTGGTAACACACTACGCCGTGAAGGACTGAAATCATGCAGCACCCGCAAGGTGGGGACTGCTCAAGAAAGCACATATACAGGGCCGTCTGAAGTTTGCCAATGAACATCTGAATGATTCAGAGGAGAACTGGGTGAAAGTGTTGTGGTCAGATGAGACCAAAATGGAGCTCTTTGGCATCAACTCAACTCGCTGTGTTTGGAGGAGGAGGAATGCTGCCTATGACCCCAAGGACACCATCCCCATCGTCAAACATGGAGGTGGAAACATTATGCTTTGGCAGTGTTTTTCTGCTCAGGGGACAGGACAACTTCACCGCATCAAAGGGACGATGGACGGGCCATGTACCGTCAAATCTTGGGTGAGAACCTCCTTCCCTCAGCCAGGGCATTGAAAATGGGTCGTGGATGGGTATTCCAGCATGACAATGACCCAAAACACACGGCCAAGGCAACAAAGGAGTGGCTCAAGAAGAAGCACATTAAGGTCCTGGAGTGGCCTAGCCAAAATCTGTGGAGGGAGCTGAAGGTTTGAGTTGCCAAACGTCAGCCTCGAAACCTTAATGACTTGGAGAAGATCTGCAAAGAGGAGTGGGACAAAATCCCTCCTGAGATGTGTGCAAACCTGGTGGCCAAATACAAGAAACGTCTGACCTCTGTGATTGCCAACAAGGGTTTTGCCACCAAGTACTAAGTCATGTTTTGCAGAGGGGTCAAATACTTATTTCCCTCATTAAAATACAAATCAATTTATAACATTTTTGACATGTGTTTTTCTGGATTTTTTGTCAGTGGGCAAACGTACAAAATCAGCAGGGGATCAAATACTTTATATATATATTACAATCTTTATATATAGTTACAATCTATCTGCAATATTAAGCTGATCTACCCCCAAAAATGTCAGCCATCCTTCACTTACAGACCCTAACATATCTAATATGTTAATATAGCAGTCCTTTTGCATGAAGCTTTACTATTAGATGAATTAAAGGTGGTTTACTTAGATAGTGTGGACTGTCTTTCAGTTTGATTTTGCTCATTGAGCTCTCTTTCCCCTCTCTTCCCTCTCTTTCCCCTCTTTCCTGTCTCTCCCTTGCTCTCTCTCTCTCTCCAGTTGGTGGTCTCCTGCAGACTCGTTTCAGCGGTACAGGTCTCTTCTTTCAGCACCATGACGTGCCCTTCGGTGGGGGCCTTCCCGGGAGGCAGTCCATGTCTCGGGCGTCGCCGGCGGTGCCTGATCCCTCGCGGGTCTCCCCCTGGCCCTCCTTCCTGTTGCCGGCCCCAACGGCCGAGGCCACTGTACGGACGGTGGGGGCTCGACGCCTGGGGGGACCTGTGGACCTAGAGAACTCAGTCACACTGGGGAAGGTATTGATAGATATACAGTGGGGGAAAAAAGTATTTAGTCAGCCACCAATTGTGCAAGTTCTACCACTTAAAAAGATGAGAGAGGCCTGTAATTTTCATCATAGGTACATGTCAACTATGACAGACAAATTGAGAAAAAAAATCCAGAAAATCACATTGTAGGATTTTTTATGAATTGATTTGCAAATTATGGTGGAAAATAAGTATTTGGTCACCTACAAACAAGCAAGATTTCTGGCTCTCACAGACCTGTAACTTCTTCTTTAAGAGGCTCCTCTGTCCTCCACTCGTTACCTGTATTAATGGCACCTGTTTGAACTTGTTATCAGTATAAAAGACACCTGTCCACAACCTCAAACAGTCACACTCCAAACTCCACTATGGCCAAGACCAAAGAGCTGTCAAAGGACACCAGAAACAAAATTGTAGACCTGCACCAGGCTGGGAAGACTGAATCTGCAATAGGTAAGCAGCTTGGTTTGAAGAAATCAACTGTGGGAGCAATTATTAGGAAATGGAAGACATACAAGACCACTGATAATCTCCCTCGATCTGGGGTTCCACGCAAGATCTCACCCCGTGGGGTCAAAATGATCACAAGAACGGTGAGCAAAAATCCCAGAACCACACGGGGGGACCTAGTGAATGACCTGCAGAGAGCTGGGACCAAAGTAACAAAGCCTACCATCAGTAACACACTACGCCGCCAGGGACTCAAATCCTGCAGTGCCAGACGGGTCCCCCTGCTTAAGCCAGTACATGTCCAGGCCCGTCTGAAGTTTGCTAGAGTGCATTTGGATGATCCAGAAGAGGATTGGGAGAATGTCATATGGTCAGATGAAACCAAAATAGAACTTTTTGGTAAAAACTCAACTCGTCGTGTTTGGAGGACAAAGAATGCTGAGTTGCATCCAAAGAACACCATACCTACTGTGAAGCATGGGGGTGGAAACATCATGCTTTGGGGCTGTTTTTCTGCAAAGGGACCAGGACGACTGATCCGTGTAAAGGAAAGAATGAATGGGGTCATGTATCGTGAGATTTTGAGTGAAAACCTCCTTCCATCAGCAAGGGCATTGAAGATGAAACGTGGCTGGGTCTTTCAGCATGACAATGATCCCAAACATACCGCCCGGGCAACGAAGGAGTGGCTTCGTAAGAAGCATTTCAAGGTCCTGGAGTGGCCTAGCCAGTCTCCAGATCTCAACCCCATAGAAAATCTTTGTAGGGAGTTGAAAGTCTGTGTTGCCCAGCGACAGCCCCAAAACATCACTGCTCTAGAGGAGATCTGCATGGAGGAATGGGCCAAAATACCAGCAACAGTGTGTGAAAACCTTGTGAAGACTTACAGAAAACGTTTGGCCTGTGTCATTGCCAACAAAGGGTATATAACAAAGTATTGAGAAACTTTTGTTATTGACCAAATACTTATTTTCCACCATAATTTGCAAATAAATTCATTAAAAATCCTACAATGTGATTTTCTGGATTTCTTTCTCTCATTTTGTCTGTCATAGTTGACGTGTACCTATGATGAAAATTACAGGCCTCTCATCTTTTTAAGTGGGAGAACTTGCACAATTGGTGGCTGACTAAATACTTTTTTTTCCCCACTGTACTTCTAATGTACTACATTTCCTGTAACTTTCCCAAAATTCCTTAATTTTTCCAGAACTCCAGGTTGGAAGGTTAACGGAATTAAGTACATTTTACATTTACATTTTAGTCATTTAGCAGACGCTCTTATCCAGAGCGACTTACAGTTAGTGAGTGCATACATTTTTTTAAAAAGTACTAAGCAGGACATCCGGAATCCTCCAACCAGGATTTCTGGGAATTTTGGGAAAGTTACTGGAATTTTGCATCCCTATACTAATAGTAATAATACATTTAATTTGTCAGGTGCCTTTCTAGACACATCATGATACAATTGTAATAGTTAAGAGTTGAAATATCAGATGGTACAGTAGACCGATTACACAAGGATACATACAGAGGTACATGGGGCAAAGCAATGAAACTTTACATCAAGAATATGAAGGAGATTTGCTGGGTAATTTTAACGAATCGACTGTGTTTATTATGTGTGAATATGGCTGTACAGTATGGGTAGTGATAATAAATCCATTCCCGTCCATCCAGGGCCGTCTGCTGATGGATGCAGCTTTGTTCACGGGCCGGTCGTTTCGGGTGGGCTGGGGTCCTGGCTGGACTCTGGTCCACTGTGGAGACGGGCTGAGTGGGGCCGGGGACAAGGAGCAGGACCACGGAGACACAGGAGCTGGAGGCTTTGGATTCCTGCCCAAACCTGCCAAGAGCAAACCGTAAGCAACACACACACCAGACCACTGTCATCAGACCACTTGTCCAGCAGCATACCACCCTGCATCCCACTGCTAGCTTGCCTCTGAAGCTAAGCAGGGTTGGTCCTGGTCGGTCCCTGGCTGGGAGACAAGATGCTGCTGGAAGTGGTGTTGGAGGGCCAGTAGGAGGCACTCTTTCCTCTGGTCAAAAATTTAATAAAATATCTGAATTCCCCAGGGCAGTGATAGGGGACATTGCCCTGTGTATGGTGCCGTCTTTCAGATGGGACATTAAACGGGTGTCCTGACTCTCTGTGGTCACTAAAGATCCCATGGCACTTATCATAAGAGTAGGGGTGTTCACCCCAGTGTCCTGGCTAAGTTCCCAATCTGGCCCTCATACCATCATGGCCACCTAATCAGCCCCAGCTTCCAATTGGCTCATTCATCTTCCTCTCCGCTATAACTATTCCCCAGGTTGTTGCTGTAAATGAGAATGTGTTCTCAGTCAACTTACCTGGTAAAATAAGGATACAATTAAATTACAAAATCTACACAGGCACTGTAGGAGTGTCGTGTCGGAATGGGATCCAGACTTGTATGAAAGGAGTGTTTTGAGGTTTGTTTAGAGAGATCGAAACTAAAGCCTAAACATTCCTCCTTCCTCTCCTCTGGCTCCATCTCGCTCTCTCCCCCATCTTTCTCTTTCACTATACAGACTGTCAGACAGTCCGTTCAAGGTGGTGATCGAGCAGGTGGTTGGTCTGGAGCCGCGGGACAGTGAGGAGAGCCAGGCGGTGTACCAACGTCCCCTGGAGATCGGCCTGAAGCACAGCAGCATCAGTACAGAGGGGGCCTGCCCCTTCATCCAGCCCCAGAGCGGTGTGGCGGCCCTGCACGAGTACGCAGATTGGATTACTGACCTCAACCAGGAGGCTGGCGCTGGAGATGGTAAGAGATGCAACACACACGATGGTAGATGGTGCACATTCATTATTGGTCAAATTCCAAAACTTCCCTATGATTCTGACATCAACCCTGTATATATCTGTTTTAATCCTCTCTCCCATGGCTGTCTCAATGTGTTCAGATATTTAAAAATATATGCTTGCTAATGCTATTCTCTATCTCTATCTCTCTATCTCTCTATCTCTCTCTCTGTAGCAGTCCTGGGTCACTGGGCTCAGGTGTGGACTTTGTGTGAGGCCCTGTGGGGCCGACTGGGTTCGGCAGAGACTGAGCCAGAGCCTGGTACCAGTGGCTACCTGCAGCGGCTGGAGAGGAGAAGGAGCTTCTCAGCCTGGCTGTCCCACAGCGCCACCCAGAGGATCGAGCAGGAGGTGGGCTTGAACCAGGGGGGAGGAAACGTGGAGGCCATCTTCAGCTACCTGACTGGACACGGCATCAGTGACGCCTGCAGGCTGGCTCAGAAGAGTGGTGAGGAGAGGGGGATTGGAGGGGTGACAGAGGTGGGGGGGATTGGAATTGGAAATTGAGGGGATGTTGAGGAAAGGAAGGGGGATCAGGGGGACAGAGATCGGGAAGACAAAGGAATGGATGAGGGGAGGGGTAGGAAGATAAACCCTGCTGCAGACCTGTGGCGTCTTACGAAACCGTTGGGCCAGGTTGTAGGATCTCATTGTTGTCTTTAACCTGTGTGTAGGGGACCACCGTCTCTCTCTGCTGCTGTCCCAGGCGGTGGGCTCTCAGTACGGCCGGGAGCTGCTGGCGCTGCAGCTTAGTGACTGGAACAGGATGCAGACAGACTCCTTCCTGCCAGAGGAGAGGCTACGCATCTTTGCCCTTCTCGCTGGGAAACCTGTAAGTAACCCGGTGTGTGTCCAGCTGTTGCCGTTCGTTGTGTGTTGTGTTCAGACCGCCATTAACTGGATTGTCGTGTGTGTGTGTAGGTTTTGCAGTCCACATAATTTGTTGTAAAATACAGGAACAATAAATGTTTTCTGAGCTGTATGTGCTGTCTCTCTAGGTGTGGCAGTCTACAGACTGTGTGGTGAACGTGTGTTCAGAGCTGGACTGGAAGCGTTGTGTGGCGGTCCACCTGTGGTACGTGCTGCCTCCCACTGCCTCCATCGCTGACGCCCTGGCCAAGTACGAGGCTGCCTTCCAGGGCTCTGCTAAGGGTCAGAAGTACGCCTGCGCCCCCCTGCCCCCCTACCTTGACCAATCAGACCAGCTGGACATGGAGGAGGAAGAGTCTAAACGGCCGCTTTACGATATCTGCTTCCACCTGCTCAAACTCTACAGCGACAGGTACTACACTACCCACAACACACTGCGCCTACATACACTTCCCATAATGCACTGCATAGGTTTCTCAAAATAAATGATTGTGCTTTACTAAGGGCTGGAGTGGGGTTGTAGGTTTCTCTGACTAGAACAAATACTACATTATCATTCTCAAGCAGATTAACAGAATAAAAGTAAACTACCTCTAGAGTGGAGTTTAAATGATAAGTGATGCCTCCCTCTCTCTCCCAGGCACTACAGCCTGCAGCAGTTGTTGGACCCCCTGACGGTGACGTGGAAGCGTCTGGACTACCGTCTGAGCTGGCACCTGTGGTCGGTCCTGCAGGCGCTGCACTACACACACCTCAGCCCCGCCCGACAGGGCCTCATACACACCAGCTACGCTGCCCAGCTGGAGAGTGCTGGCCTCTGGGACATGGCCATCTACGTACTGCTGCACATACCTGACAACGCGTACGTACACTACATGACCAAAAGTATGTGGACCCCTGCTCGTCGAACATCTCATTCCAAAATCATGGGCATCAATATGGAGTTGGTCCCCCCTTTGCTCCTATAACAGCCTCCACTCTTCTGGGAAGGCTTTCCAATAGATGTTGGATCATTGCTGTGGTGACTTGCTTCCATTCAGCCACGAGCATTAGTGAGGTCGGGCACTGATGTTGGGCGATTAGGCCTGGCTCGCTGTCGGCGTTCCAATTTATCCCAAAAGTGTTCGATGGGGTTGAGGTCAGGGCTATGCAGGCCAGTCAAGTTCTTCCACACCGATCTAATTTTTGTATGGACCTCGCTTTGTGCACGGGGGCATTGTCATGCTGAAACAGGGAAGGGCCTTCCCCAAACTGTTGCCACAAAGTTGGAAGCACAGAATCGTCTAGAATGTTATTGTATGCTGTAGCTTTAAAATGTCCCTTCACTGGAACTAAGGGGCCTAGTCCGACCCATAAAAAACAGTCCCAGACCATATTCCTCCTCTACCAAACTTTACAATTGGCACTATGCATTCGGGTAGGTAGCTTTCTGCTGGCATCTGTCAAACCCAGATTCGTCCGTCGGACTACCAGATGGTGAAGCGTGATTTATCACTCCAGAGAACGCGTTTCTTCATTAAAATGTAAATATCTACACAGGCACTGTAGGAGTGTCGTGTCAACATTCCTCCTTCCTCTGTCTCCATCTCTCTCTCCCCCATATTTCTATCTTTCACTATACAGACTGTCAGACAGTCCGTTCAAGGTGGTGATCGAGCAGGTGGTTGGTCTGGAGCCGCGGGACAGCGAGGAGAGCCAGGCGGTGGACCAGCGGCCCCTGGAGATCGGCCTGAAGCACAGCAACATCAGTACAGAGGGGGTCTGCCCCTTCATCCAGCCCCAGAGCGGTGTGGCCTCCCTGCACGAGTACGCAGAGTGGATTACTGACTTAAACCAGAGAATGCGTTTCCACTGCTTCAGAGTCCAATGGCAGCGAGCTTTACAGCACTCCAGCCGACACTTGGTATTGCGCATCGTGATCTTAGGCTTGTGTGCGGCTGCTCGGCCATGGAAACCCATTTCATGAAGCTCCCGACGAACAGTTATTGTGCTGACGTTGCTTCCAGAGGCCGTTTGGAACTCTGTAGTGAGTGTTGCAACCAAGGACGGACGATTTTTATGAGCTTCAGCACTCTGCGGTCCCGTTCTGTGAGCTTGTATGGCCTACCACGTCGCGGCTGTGCCGTTGTTGCTCCTAGACATTTCCACTTCACAATAACAGCACTTACAGTTGACCAGGCAGCTCTAGCAGGGCAGAAATTTGACAAACTGACTTGTTGGAAAGGTGGCGTCCTATGACGGTGCCACATTGAAAGTCACTGAGCTCTTTAGTACGGGCCATTCTATTGCCAATGTTTGTCTATGAAAATTGCATGGCTGTGTGCTCGATTTTACCCCTGTCAGCAACGGGTGTGGCTGAAATAGCCCAATCCACTAATTTGAAGGTGTCCCCACATACTTTTGTCTATACACTACCTCAAAAGTTTTAGAATACCTATTCATTCAAGGGTTTTTCTTTTATTTTTACTATTTTCTACATTGTAGAATAATAGTGAAGACATCAAAACTGTGAAATAACACATACGGAATCATGTAGTAACCCATAAAGTGTTAAACAAATCAAAATATATTTTATATTTGAGATTCTTCAAATAGAAACTCTTTGCCTTGATGACAGCTTTACATCTCTTGGCAGTCTCTCAACCAGCTTCACCTGGAATGCTTTTCCAACAGTCTTAAAGGAGTTCCCACATGCTGAGCACTTGTTGGCTGCTTTTCCTTCACTCTGCGGTCCGACTCATCCCAAACCATCTCAATTTGGGTGAGGTCGGGGGATTTTGGAGGCCAGGTCATCTGATGCAGCACTCCATCACTCTTCTTCTTTGTAAAATAGCCCTTACACAGCCTGAAGGTGTGTTGGTTCATTGTCCTGTTGAAAATGAAATTATAGTCCCACTAAGCCCAAACCAGATGGGATGGCGTATCGCTGCAGAATGCTGTGGTAGCCATGCTGGTTAAGTGTGCCTTGAATTCTAAATAAATCACAGACAGTGTCACCAGCAAAGCACCCCCACACCATAACACCTCCTCCTCCATGCTTTACTGTGGGAAATACACATGCGGAGATCATCCGTTCACCCACACCGCGTCTCACAAAGACACCGAAAAATCTCAAATTTGCACTCAAGACCAAAGGTCAGATTTACACCGGTCTAATGTCCATTGCTCGTGTTTCTTGGCCAAAGCAAGTCTCTTCTTCTTATTGGTGTCCTTTAGTAGTGGTTTCTTTGCAGCAATTTGACCATTTACATTTACATCATTTAGCAGACGCTCTTATCCAGAGCGACTTACAAATTGGTGCATTCAACTTACAGTGGGGAAAAAAAGTATTTAGTCAGCCACCAATTGTGCAAGTTCTCCCACATAAAAAGATGAGGCCTGTAATTTTCATCATAGGTACACGTCAACTATTACAGACAAAATGAGAAAAACAAATCCAGAAAATCACATTGTAGGATTTTTAATGAATTTATTTGCAAATTATGGTGGAAAATAAGTATTTGGTCAATAACAAAAGTTTCTCAATACTTTGTTATATAACCTTTGTTGGCAATGACACAGGTCAAACGTTTTCTGTAAGTCTTCACAAGGTTTTCACACACTGTTGCTGGTATTTTGGCCCATTCCTCCATGCAGATATCCTCTAGAGCAGTGATGTTTTGGGGCTGTCGCTGGGCAACACAGACTTTCAACTCCCTCCAAAGATTTTCTATGGGGTTGAGACCTGGAGACTGGCTAGGCCACTCCAGGACCTTGAAATGCTTCTTACGAAGCCACTCCTTGGTTGCCCGGGCGGTGTGTTTGGGATCATTGTCATGCTGAAAGACCCAGCCACGTTTCATCTTCAATGCCATTGCTGATGGAAGGAGGTTTTCACTCAAAATCTCACGATACATGGCCCCATTCATTCTTTCCTTTACACGGATCAGTCGTCCTAGTCCCTTTGCAGAAAAACAGCCCCAAAGCATGATGTTTCCACCCCCATGCTTCACAGTAGGTATGGTGTTCTTTGGATGCAACTCAGCATTCTTTGTCCTCCAAACACGACGAGTTGAGTTTTTACCAAAAAGTTATATTTTGGTTTCATCTGACCATATGACATTTTCCCAATCCTCTTCTGGATCATCCAAATGCACTCTAGCAAACTTCAGACGGGCCTGGACATGTACTGGCTTAAGCAGGGGGACACGTCTGGCACTGCAGGATTTGAGTCCCTGGCGGCGTAGTGTGTTACTGATGGTAGGCTTTGTTACTTTGGTCCCAGCTCTCTGCAGGTCATTCACTAGGTCCCCCCGTGTGGGGGATTTTTGCTCACCGTTCTTGTGATCATTTTGACCCCACGGGGTGAGATCTTGCGTGGAGCCCCAGATCGAGGGAGATTATCAGTGGTCTTGTATGTCTTCCATTTCCTAATAATTGCTCCCACAGTTGATTTCTTCAAACCAAGCTGCTTACCTATTGCAGATTCAGTCTTCCCAGCCTGGTGCAGGTCTACAATTTTGTTTCTGGTGTCCTTTGACAGCTCTTTGGTCTTGGCCATAGTGGAGTTTGGAGTGTGACTGTTTGAGGTTGTGGACAGGTGTCTTTTATACTGATAACAAGTTCAAACAGGTGCCATTAATACAGGTAACGAGTGGAGGACAGAGGAGCCTCTTAAAGAAGAAGTTACAGGTCTGTGAGAGCCATAAATCTTGCTTGTTTGTAGGTGACCAAATACTTATTTTCCACCATAATTTGCAAATAAATTCATTAAAAATCCTACAATGTGATTTTCTGGAGAAAAAAGTGTACCTATGATGAAAATTACAGGCCTCTCATCTTTTTAAGTGGGAGAACTTGCACAATTGGTGGCTGACTAAATACTTTTTCCCCCACTGTATGATAGCCAGTGGGACAACCACTTTAGTTGTTTTTTTTGGGGGGGTGGGGGAAGAAGGATTACTTTATACTATTCCAGGTATTCCTTAAAGAGGGAGGGTTTCAAGTGTCTCCGGAAGGTGGTCAGTTACTCCGCTGTCCTGGCGTCGTGGGGGAGCTTGTTCCACCATTGGGGTGCCAGAGCAGCGAATAGCTTTGACTGGGCTGAGCGGGAACTGTGCTTCCGTAGAGGTAGGGGAGCTAGCAGGACAGAGGTGATTGAACGTAGTGCCCTTGTTTGGGTGTAGGGTCTGATCAGAGCCTGAAGGTAAGGAGGTCCCCTCACAGCTCCGTAGGCAAGCACCATGGTCTTGTAGTAGATGCGAGCCTCAACTGGAAGCCAGTGGAGTGTGCGGAGGAGCGGGGTGACATGAGAGAACTTGGGAAGGTTGAACACCAGACGGGCTGCAGCGTTCTGGATAAGTTATAGGGGTTTAATTGCAGAGGCAGGGAGCACAGCCAACAGCGAGTTGCAGTAATCCAGACGGGAGATGACAAGTGCCTGGATTTGGACCTGTGCTACTTTTTATGTAAATTAGGGTCGTACTCTGCGAATGTTGTAGAGCATGAATCTGCAGGATCGGGTCACCGCTTTGATGTTAGTGGAGAACGACAGGGTGTTGTCCAGGGTCACGCCAAGGTTCTTTGCACTCTGGGAGGAGGACACAATGGAGTTGTCAACCGTGATGGCGAGTTCATGGAGCGGGCAGTCCTTCCCCGGGAGGAAGAGCAGCTCCGTCTTGCCGAGGTTGAGCTTGAGGTGGTGACCCGACATCCACACTGATATGTTTGCCAGAGATGCGATTCGCCACCTGGTTATCAGAAGGGGGAAAGGAGAAAATGAATTGTGTGTCGTCTGCGTAGCAATGATAGGAGAGACCATGTGAGGATATGACAGAGCCAAGTGACTTGGTGTATAGAGAGAATAGGAGAAGGCCTAGAACTGATCCCTGGGGGACACCAGTGGTGAGAGCACGTGGTGCGGAGACAGATTCTTGCCACGCCACCTGGTAGGAGCGACCTGTCAGGTAGGATGCAATCCAAGAGGGAGCAGCGCCGGAGATGCCCAACTCGGAGAGGGTGGAGAGGAGGATCTGATGGTTCACAGTATCAAAGGCAGCGGATAGGTCTAGAAGGATAAGAGCAGAGGAGAGAGAGTTAGCTTTAGCAGTGCGGAGAGCCTCCATGACACAGAGAAGAGCAGTCTCAGTTGAATGACCAGTCTTGAAACCTGACTGGTTTGGATCAAGAAGGTCATTCTGAGAGAGATGGCAGGAGAGTTGGCTAGAGACGGCACGCTCAAGAGTTTTGGAGAGAAAATAAAGAAGGGAAATGTTCTGTAGTTGTTGACATCGGAGGGATCGAGTGTAGGTTTTTTGAGGAGGGGTGCAACTCTCGCTCTCTTGAAGACGGAAGGGACATGGCCAGCGGTCAAGGATGAGTTGATCAGCGAGGTGAGGTAAGGGAGAAGGTCTCCGGAAATTGTCTGGAGAAGAGAGGAGGGGATAGGGTCAAGCGGGCAGGTTGTTGGGCGGCCGGCCGTCAGAAGTCGCAAGATTTCATCTGGAGAGAGAGGGGAGAAAGAAGTGAAAGCATAGGGTAGGGCTGTGTGAGCAGGACCAGCGGTGTCATTTGACTTAATGAATGAGGATCGGATGTCGTCAACCTTCTTTTCAAAATGGTTGACGAAGTCATCCACAGAGAGGGAGGGGGAGGAGGAGGAGGAGGATTCAGCAGGGAGGAGAAGGTGGCAAAGAGCTTCCTAGGGTTAGAGGCAGAGGCTTGAATTTTAGAGTGGTAGAAAGTGGCTTTAGCAGCGGAAACAGAGGAAGAGAATGTAGAGAGGAGGGAGTGAAAAGATGACAGGTCCGCAGGGAGTCTAGTTTTCCTCCATTTCCGCTCGGCTGCCCGGAGCCCTCTTCTGTGAGCTTGCAATGAGTCGTCAAGCCACGGAGCAGGAGTGGAGGACCGAGCCAGCCGGGAGGATAGGGGACATAGAGTCAAAAGATGCAGAAAGGGAGGAGAGGAGGGTTGAGGAGACAGAATCAGGAGATCGGAGGGAGAAGGATTTAGCAGAGGGAATGATGATAGGCTGGAAGAGGAGAGAGTAGCGGGAGAGAGAGAGCGAAGGTTGCGACGGCACATTACCATCGGAGTAGGGGCAGAGTGAGTAGTGTTGGAGGAGAGCGAGAGAGAAAAGGATACAAAGTAGTGGTCGGAGACTTGGAGGGGAGTTGCAGTGAGATTAGTAGAAGAACAGCATCTAGTAAAAATGAGGTCAAGCGTATTGCCTGCCTTGTGAGTAGGGGGGGACGGTGAGAGGGTGAGGTCAAAAGAGGAAAGGAGTGGAAAGAAGGAGGCAGAGAGAAATTAGTCAAAGGCAGACGTAGGGAGGTTAACGTCACCCAGAACTGTGAGGGGTAAGCCATCCTCAGGAAAGGAATTTATCAAGGCGTCAAGCTCATTGATTAACTCTCCAAGGGAACCTGGAGGGCGATAAATGACAAGGATGAATGGCTTGAATGGGCTAGTGACTGACAGCATGGAATTCAAATGAGGAGATAGACAGATGGGTCAGGGGAGAAAGAGAGAGAGAATGTCCACTTGGGAGAGATGAGGATTCCTGTGCCACCGCCGCGCTGACCAGATGCTCTCGGGGTATGCGAGAACACATGGTCAGACGAGGAAAGAGCAGTAGGAGTAGCATTGTTTTCTGTGGTAATCCATGTTTCCGTCAGCGCCAAGAAGTCGAGGGACTGGAGGGTAGCATAGGCTGAGATGAACTCTGCCTTGTTGGCCGCAGAACGGCAGTTCCAGAGGCTGCCGGAGACCTGGAACTCCACGTGGGTCGTGCGCGCAGGGACCACCAGATTAGAGTGGCAGCAGCCACACGGTGTGAAGCGTTTGTATGGCCTGTGCAGAGAGGAGAGAACAGGGATAGAAAGTCACATAGTTGACAGACTACAGAAAAAGGCTACAATAATGCAAAGGAGATCAGAATGAAATGAACTAAACATCTGGGAAAGCGAGAGAGCGGGGCCTCCCTCACTTACATGTCACTGAAACACAAAAATATAACTCTCCCAACTTCCACTTTAGAAATTATAATTGTTGTAAACTACAGCAGTTCAATGTTTTCTAAGAATAGACTCTAACTTAGTTTATTCAGCTAGCTAACTTGGTACAGTATTCTTCCGTGAAAACCGTCCAGGGCACCGAATCCTATGACGCCATAGCCAACTAGCATGCCAGCCTCCAATAACACGGTTTAGCACCAATACTCGGTTACAACAAACCACCAGTGTGTTAACACGCCAAACAGATCATTCGTGTCCGTGTCTAACGTTGTGTAAAGTTTTGACAGTTTGAGTGAGTACGTCGTCAACTTATTCAGTCAGTTAGTTAGCTAGAATAGTTAGCATACTAGCTAGCCATTGCTCTCTGCCAACTAACCAACCCCTCCTCCCACAGCACGAAACACACAGAGAGAGCCAAGCTAACATTAACTAGTCACCCATGTCCCGAATTCCCTTGAACGACTCTGGTTACCAGTATGTAAAAACAAAACAAAAATAAATGTAGGTTATAGCTTACCCTTTAGTAGCTACTGTTAGCCAGTTAAGTGCAAAGCTAGCCACTGAATCGATTCAGCCAGTTCGCGTCTGTCCCAACGAAGAGAAAGCGTCTCCAAATATTACAGCTAGGTTGTTCCAGCTATTGTTTTGTTAGCTATCCAGGTAGCAGCAAGCTAACTACATTTCGAGTACAGTAGCTACTAACTACCTAACGTTAACGCTTCCGATAATGAGGTTAGAAAAACAGCTGAATGGTAGGTAGCTAGCTGGCATAATTACAGGTACTCTTAAGTGTGAAATAACATTGGAAACAACTATCCACAGTTGCTAATAGGTACCAGTAGCTACCCGCTAACTAGCTAGCTTTATTGGTCCAGGTAGTGGGTTAGCTAGCCTCGTTCTTCACCGGGCTCAGCCGAATACAATACTTACCTACAATAACTACCTAGATAAACTACCTACAATCTAAATACATGGTTTAAGCTTTACTCGACACCATATAAGAAGCCAAGCTTACCTCCCGCTAGAGAAACACAACCTCACCTGACCAGTATCCAGAAACCCTCACTATCCTTCGACCTTCCCCATATTGACAGTTTTGTAAGCGTTAGATTTGCCAAAGTCACCTACAGACCTCATTATATATGGAGGACCAAAGCAGTCAAAAATAATTAAAAACTCTAGGGGCAGTTTCCCGGACACAGATTAAGCCTAATACTCCCTTTTTCTCCCCAATTTCGATCTTGTCTCATCGTTGCAACTCCCCAACGTGCTCAGGAGGTGAAGGTCGAGTCATGCGTCCTCCGAAACATGACCCGCCCAAAAAAAAACGTAATGAAGGCCTGATTCACACAGTCTCCTCTGAACAGTTGATGTTGAGATGTGTCTGTTACTTGAACTCTGTGAAGCATTTATTTGGGCTGCAATTTCTGAGGCTGGTAACTCTAATGAACTTATCCTCTGCAGTAGAGGTAAATCTGGGTCTTCCATTCCTGTGGCGGTCCTCATGAGAGCCAGTTTCATCATAGCGCTTGATGGTTTTTGCGACTGCACTTGAAGAAACGTTCAACCTTTTCCATATTGACTGACCTTCATGTCTTAAAATAATAATGGACTGTCGTTTCTCTTTGCTTATTTGAGCTGTTCTTGCCATAATATGGACTTGGTCTTTTACAAAATAGTGCTATCTTCTGTATACCCCCCTACCTTGTCATAGCAGAACTGATTGGCTCAAACGCATTAAGAAGGAAAGAAATTCCACAAATTAACTTTTAAGAAGGGGGCACACCTGTTAATTGAAATGCATTCTATGTGACTACCTCATGAAGCTGGTTGAGAGAATCCAAAGAGTGTGCGAAGCTGTCATCAAGGCAAAGGGTGGCTATTTTGAAGAATCTCAAATCTAAAATGTATTTTGATTTGTTTAACACCTTTTTGGTTACTACATGATTCCATATGTGTTATTTCATAGTGTTGATGTCTTCACTATTATTCTACAATGTAGAAAATAGTAAAAATAAAGAAACCCTGGAATGAGTAGGTGTTCTAAAACTTTTGGCCGGTAGTGTATATAGTGTATCACACTCATAGACACACACACAGACTTCCCACACTCAACGTTGTTTACTTATTAGGGAAAGGGGGATACCTAGTCAGTTGTACAACTGAATGCATTCAACTGAAATGTGTCTTCCGCATTTAACCCAACCCCTTTGAATCAGAGAGGTGCCTTAATCGATATCCACGTCTTCGGCGCCCGGGGAACAGTGGGTTAACTGCCTTGCTCAGCACCAGAACGACATATTTTTTTACCTTGTCAGCTCGGGGATTCGATCCAACAACCTTTCGGTTACTGGCCCAATGCTCCTACCCGCCAGGCTACCTGCCGCCTAGTCATGAGGATGGTTAAGTTGATGAGTCAGTGGAGAATTTGAGGGTCAGTGCTCTCAGCAAATGACCTGGATGGACAGACGGGCTGACAATGATTCATCATAATCTCACAAGTGCTACTGTGACCAGCTGAGTTCAAAGTTCAACCCCGACTTGTCCGCGCAATGTTAGCCCTCTGTGCTCTGGGAGCTAAAGGAAGTAATCATGTCTCAGGCAAGCTTACACATTACTACGTGAGCATGTGCTGTTGGAAAACTTACAACATGTAAAGTAATAAAGTTAACAAGCTACCATGTCTTTCTCCTCTGTCCAGGCTGCGTGAGCATGCGGTGAGGGAGATGCTGCAGCTGCACTGCCCCCTGCTGGAGACGGAGGAGTCTGCCCAGAAGGAGCACTTCCTCACAGAGAGACTACTGATCCCAGAACAGTGGCTCCACCAGGCCAAGGCTACCAGAGCCAGAAGAGACGCAGACAGACACGGAGAGGCACTTCACCTGTACAGAGCAGGACACTGGAACCTCTGCCACAGTCTGGTCATACAGCACCTTGCCTCAGGTGTGCGTGTAAACACACACACACACACACACACACACACACACACACACACACTCTAACCCTGTTCCCCTGTCTCTGTGCGATTCCCCTGTAGAGTGTATAATTAATGATAACCATGAGTACCTCTTGGAGTTCCTGGAGGGGCTTGCGGTTCCTGAGCGCAGTGCTGTGATCCAGGACTGGGATACGGCAGGCAGAGTCTACCTGGACTACATCAGAGTCATGCAGACCCTACACGCCATACAACAGGTACGTGTGTCTGTCTGGACTAGACTACATCAGACAAACACACCATACATACCATACTGTGAGTGTGTGGAATTTTGTGCGCTAAAGAGATTTCTCACCCCAATATTGAAATTAATCAGTTGAGCTAGCTGTAGCCATGTGCCGTCACAATCCCCAAAAGACACAGAAAAAGTTGTCACCACAGTATCCCAGCTCAATTAACCGAAAATTCACCTTGAAATTGGCAAAATAATCAGCACGTCCAGACATTTGAAAGCTAGTCCCACAGCGCATCAGCTAGCTCAACTTGTCTTTCTTCTTCATTATGTTGACTCCATTACTGTTAATTATGTTAGCCAATTAGCTATGCTGCTAATCTGCTGATTATTTGTCTCTGTCATATAATGATGGACAATAGTGGGATATGAGCTAGAGCACTTGCACATTGATTTAGGCTTCTTTGGGCATGTTAATGGTAGTGTGTTTCTACTGTGTACTCTGATTAACATTGCTGTTTATCAGCTGGAATGGTATATTAATGTGTCTCTGTCTCTCTCTGTGTGTATTCAGATGGACAGTGCTGGTTATGAGCTGGAGCGTCTACACACTGAGGTGACGTCTCTCTGCAGCAGGATAGAGCTCCTCCCCTGCTCCACCGCCAAGGACCGCCTTGCCCAATCAGGTGAGGAGATCGAGTTGTCTGCGCCAATCAGAGGGCAGCTGATCTTAAGACAGTGCTATGATACAAAACGTTCATATAATGTTCTGTGTGGGGTCCTGTCTTACCCTATTCTCTCTCCTGTATCTTTAGGGTTGTGTGTGTTCCTAGATCTATCTAACCCTGTTCTCTCTCCTGTCTCCAGAGATGGCCAAGCGTGTGGCTAACATCCTGCGTGTGGTGTTGAGTCTGCAGCAGGGTGGTGAGGGTGGCGTGATCCCCTTGTCCCAGCTAGCGCCCCACATCGGCCATCTGCCCATGCCCGAGGACTATGCTGTCGAGGAGCTCCGCAGCCTCACCCAATCATACCTGAGACAGCTCATTGTCAGCTAATGATCTGCCCCGAACCCACAGCCCCCCGCCCAATAGCAACTGAGGTAGTTTGTTTGAAGCCAATGAGAACAGTGGGAGTAGGAGGGGACTATCTGGGACTGTTTAGTAGGACTACTGGGGTTTGTTTGAGAATGCAGCGATGGACTTGCAGCGTGCTCCTTTGGTGCTTTGGTTTCTCCTGAAGAAAATGGTACAAGATTATTGGATGAAGCATTCCTCAGTGTGTGTTTGTGTGGAAATGAATGACTTGTACGTTTTTTATTTCATTATGTTTTTGTATAGCTTTGTTGTACTTAGAGGCCTAAAACGCTTGTTTGTGTAAGATGTGTGTTTAAATATTGAACTGCTGAACCCTCCTGATACTCTCCTTTCCCAAACTTTGACCCTGTTTAAAGGGACAATCTCATTGACTGGTGTGTGTAACGCCCTGCAATTAATCTGTTTTCAGTATAAATGCATTCTGCAAACTGTGTTTGTTTGACTCTTACATCCATCCCCATGTAAACATAAAGGTCATTATAGTAAGATTGTTTACAATTTTGTTAGGGAGATGTCAGGGATGAACTGTCAATATGTGTATACATAGGGAAGATCTATCTAGCTTAAAATGGAGGAGACTCATTTTAGTGATGTAATATTGTACAAATAGCAGGCTTGAAATCAACAATTGTTTTTGAATGCCAAAACAGATCTTGAGAAAATGTAAAATGAGAATGGATAAACATATATTTTTGTAGTTTTCTTTTGTATTTTGGGTGAAACCCAGAGTATGTGAGTGTATTCGAATGGAAAGATAGAGAATGGAATCTAACTAGCACTTCATCACAAATATATGGTTTCAGATTTCTATTTTATGGGAGCTATGTTTGTTAATTTTTTTTTTTTGTAATTTTTTTTTTTTTTGTAATCAGCCATCCAACAATTGTTTGTTTTAATGAGTCAATCCATTTTCTCTGTGGTCTTTGCAAGGAGTCTGTTTGAAATATATCATATTATAATTTACAATTCCTTGGTGTACTTGGTCTTACCTTCACTAACACAGCTTCCATTCTCATCCTTTGTTCCCCCTTAACCTCCAGTTTTCTGTATTTTGATTTTTCAAGAGAAATGTATGTACTTATTGATTGTTGTGCTGCTGCCGCAGTATATTTTGGGCGGGAGACCGCTGCCCTCGCGCACAGTGCTTTTTACAAGGAGGGTCTCCGGACTTTTGTTGCCGCCGTTGCTCTGTGCACGATTGTGATGATGGTGATGATAACGTTTTTATTAGTCTGAATAAAATGCATTCTATTTTGTCAAGAATTGTATTAAACAATTATGCTCAATACTATACCTTATCTCATGCACTCCGACGTGTCAGATCTTGAACCCGTCACTAGATTTATTTCTAGTCATATTATTGTAATGCAGCCATTCTTCTCTAGGCTATAGTTAGTCTATTCTATATCGTGCAGAATCTGCATTTACTTTCTATTTTTAAAAGGCCTTATGCATTTTTATAGTGCTTGCTTTTCTCAAGATGAAGTGCCTTGCTTTTTTGCAATGAAGGGGGTTGCTGAGTGGGACCATGCGTGTCAATGGATGGACGGATGCGTTAAGTACCTGCCACCTGACGTGTCCACGGTACAAGCAGCTTTAGCTACCATTACATTGAAATCGGACAAGTGGCCTACCTTCTCTGTTCAATTATTCACATCACCTGCCCTTCCTTGCAGATGCATCTTTAAAAACCTAATGGCGTGTCATACTCTTATGTTACAGAAGTTATGGAGTCAGTGCCAGTTGGACCCTTCTCCGGTGCTTCGTGTTATGTCTTTGATTGGAGTTTGTTTCAAACTGATTTACAGTATTGCATGTAGCCTACCTTTCATTCATTCTGCACATTATTACAGTGCCTTCAGAAAGTATTTGTACCCAATGACTTATTCCGCATTTTATTACAGCCTGAATTCAAAATGGATTAAATGGATTTTGTTTCTCACCCATTACACACAATACCCCATAATGAGGGAGAACATGTTTTAAAAATGTTTAATTCATTATTGAAAAATGAAATACATAAATATTTTTTGCATAATTATTCACAGCCCTGAGTCAATACTTTTATAGAAGCACCTTTGGCATTGATTACAGCTGTGAGTCTTTCTGGTTAAGTCTCTAAGAGCTTTCCACACCTGGATTGTGCAACATTTGCCAATTATAATTTTCTAAATTCTTCAAACTCCATCAAATTGGTTGTTGATCATTGCTAGACAACCATTTTCAGGTCTTGCCATAGATTTCCAAGTAGATTTAAGTCAAGACTGTAACTCTGCCACTCAGGAACATTCACTGCCTTCTTGGTAAGCAACTCCAGTGTAGATTTGCTTTGTGTTTTAGGTTATTGTCCTGCTTAAAGGTGAATTCATCTCCCAATGTCTGGTGAAAAGCAGACGGAACCAGGTTTTCCTCTAGGATTTTGCCTGTGCTTAGCTCCATTACTTTTCTTTTTCATCCTGAAAAACTCCCCAGTCCTTAACGACTACAAGCAAACACCTAACATGATGCAGCCACTACCATGCTCGAAAATATGGAGAGTGGCACTCAGTAATGTGTTGTGTTGGATTTGCCCTAAACTTAACACTTTGTATTCAGGACAAAAAGTAAATTGCTTTGCTGCATTTTTTGCAGTATTACTTTAGTGCCTTGTTGCAAGCAGGATGCATGTTTTCATATATGTATATTCTCTACAGCAGGGATGCCAAACTCATTCCATGGAGGGCCTAGTGTGTGCTGGTTTTAGTTTTTTCCTTTCAATTAAGGCTTAGACAACCAGGTGAGGGGAGTTCCTTACTAATTAGTGACCTTAATTAATCAATCAAGTACAAGGGAGGAGGGAAAACTCGCAGATATTTGGCCCTCTGTGGAATGACACGTGCTCTACAGGCTTCCTTCCTTTCACTCTGTCAATTATGTTAGTATTATGTAGTAACTACAATGTTGTTGATCCATCCTCAGTTTTCTCCTATAAAAACCATTAAACTCTGTAACTGTGTTAAAGTCACCATTGGCCTCATGGTGATATCCCTGAACGGTTTCCCACCTTTCCAGCAACTGAGTTAGGAAGGACGCCTGTATCTTTGTAGTGACTGGGTGTATTGATACACCATCCAAAGTGTAATTCATAACTTCAGCATGCTCAAAAGAATATTCAATTACATTTAGCAGACACTCTTATCCAGAGCGACTTACAGGAGCAATTAGGGTTAAGTGCCTTGCTCAAGGGCACATCGACAGATTTTTCACCTAGTCGGCTCGGGGATTAGAACCAGCAACCTTTCAGGTTACGGGTACTACGCTCTTAACCACTAAGCTACCTGCACCAATGTCTGGTTTAAAAAAATGTATCTACCAATAGGTGCCATTCTTTGAAAGGCATTGGAAAACCTCCCAGGTCTTTGTGGTTGAATCTTTGTTTGGAATTCACTGCTCGACTGCGGGACATTACAGATAATTGTATGTGTGTGGTACAAAGATGAGGTAGGCATTAAAAAATCTTAAACGCTATTATTGCACACAGAGTGAGTCCGTGCATTTATGTGACTTAAGCACATTTTTACTCCTGAACTTATTTAGGATTGGCATAACAAAGGAGTTGAATACTTATTGACTCAAAACATTTCAGCTTTTAATTTTTAATTAATTTGTACACTTTTCGAAAAACATAATTCCACTTTGACATTATTGGGTATTCTGTGTAGGCCGGTGACCAAATACATCTCTATTTAATCCATTTTAAATTCAGGCTGTAACACAACAAAATGTGGATAAAGTTCAGGGGTGAGAATACTTTCTGAAGGCAGTGTATATACAAGTATAAAAGCGCGGGGCGCGCCATGCCTTCTCTTACCGCGCTGTGGCGCGCACCACAGCGCGGTAAGAAGACTAGGCTACTGGATACAGCGGCAGTTCATCCAAAATCAGGTCTGTGTGCGCAGCTGTCTCTTCGCGTCGCGTTTCAGGCCTGCGCTAAACTCCCCAGATACGGTAAATTATCTCAGATGTAGTGGACTGTTTTGCTCCTCTTCTGCCCACAGTATCAAACATAAAGCAGCACGTTGTGCCAGTTCAGCACCATGCATCTATGGAGCGTCTTTTCTACGTCGCTGTTCTTCCTCGGTTTAAGTTTTCTTCCAGGTACGTGTTATTTTTTTGCTTAACAATTTGACAACATGTATTGTATTAGAGACGAGGTTCTGATTATTTATCGATGGCTTGACCAGTTTCAGTCAATTGACAGACTTTGAGGGCAATTTTCCTAACTTTGGCAGTCTGTAACCTAACTTTAGGCCAGTTCGTTTTTTTCCCGGGTGTTATACAATGCCAACTACAGTGTAGTGACCTAACTGACCTTGTATTGAAAATGTGGCAGACTATACATTCACATTGGATGCTGAATGAATGAATGAGCAACCCCTCAAATATGTATTAAGGGGCAAAGGTGGACTGTGGAAATGACATGCATGCATGGACTGTCACTATGCACTTTGGGTTGGTGATTTCAGGATGAGGACTTAGGTGTTGTATCCCACCGGAATGGAATTAACCTGATATGATGTACTTGATGGTCTACCATGTCATAGTGCCTGACCCTATTATTGCTTTTATTGCTGGTTTCACTCTTCACAAACCTGTGGAGATGGTGTGTTTGTGCATTAATACCTGATTGCTTCTACATCTGCATTGGTTGCTCTTTGGAGTCTTTGGGGGTTTAGGCTGGGTTTCTGTATAAACACTTTGTGACAACTGCTGATGTAAAAAGGGCTTTATAAATTTGATTGATTGTACTCATGGCAAGCTGTTCCTCTCATAATTCCTTTCTCTCGCTCTCTCTCAATATCATCCCATGATAATCCCCACCATCTGGGTCTCAAACCCACAGTTAGCGTGTTCTGACGTGACCACTGGGCTGAAAGAGCAAATGCACGCATGCATACACACTCACACACACACACACACACACACTCACACACACACACACACACACACACACAAAGAGATCAGATCAGATGAGAGAATGACAGATTACACCGTTACAACTACAAACTCTCTGTTGTCTGGACACGTGATATATGCCAGCAGTCAATGGGTTTATGCTGTCATCCCTGTGACCTCTAACCCAGACTCATGCCTGGTCCTGTAGATACTGACAGGAGACAAAAGATAGCAGATTAATAAAGGGGAAACAGGAGCCGTGGTTACACCTTGCTTTAACGTGGTTATGGTCATCCGATCAAGATGATCCGATAACTATGGTAATAAAATGTGTCTCTTATCTGCCCACAGTGTCCGTATCGTGAGCAGATTCCCTGGTCCCTCCCTGTATGCAAATTAATCCAACCTGCCTTGGACCTTCCTTATGACACAACCGCACACTTTTATAGTCAATAGTTTTACACTGATTATTACAGCCTATATTTGTTATCCAACGATTTAAGACTGGGCATAATAGGCTACTGTCCCGATATCCTCCACCTGTCCACAGCCATACAAATAAATATTTCATATATCCTCCTGTTTTCAAAACAGTAAAACAGCTTTGTAGGCCTAAGTGCATTAGTTGTGTTTAGGAAGGTCTTAAGAAGTTTGTATTTTGAAGAACCTCTAATATGGTAACCTATTGCAAGACGCGTGGTCAAATTATGAAAATTTATAAAAGTGGCAATGGGTAGAAAGTGCAAAGGAGCATGCATGTAGAGCAAATACTATGGCTTTATAAATGAAGAAAGTGTCAGTCTAATAGTAGTCTAAAGAGTCCTTCGTATTGTACATCAAATTGGACAGTGGCCTCGCTCATGCTTACAGAAAGCTATGCGCCTTTACGCATCCGTTTGGACATATTCTGCACTTTATTGCTATCCATTTGTCTGGAAAATGCTCAAAGATTCACAGAATAGAATATAATACAACATAATAAAATAAAAAAGGATTGCATTATATTCCAGGAGTCCGATTCTTATTTAGTATAGGCCTAAACAGTTTTAGTTCCTCCAAATCATTGATCAGTGATAATTCAGTAACTGAGTCTCTTTCACTCATTGAGGGTTGATAGACTGATATACAAGCGTTACAGAATTTAAACTGAACTACAAATGTATTGGGGATGCATGGGACGGACTATGATGGAGTCACAGCAGAAGAGCGCAGTGCATGACAAGTGTATGGCAAGGTATAATGTGTATTTTTTTTTTTATTCACTATTGCTACCCCTCTTCTTGCTGAACAGTAGGAAGAGGAAAACACCTGTGCTGATGCCAGTCGTTCTAGTTTCTATGTTCCTCTTTAGATACATGTGTTTCTTG